TTTTCCTTGTCAGCACATAGTCATCTCATTGTTTAGAAATGATTGTGATGTTTGTTTACACACTCTTGTAAAGGCTACTGATCCAGTACCAAAGAAGCGAATGTACTAGTTCAAATGGGAATCCACAATCTTCTTCCGTTTGTGAAGAACGCATGTCGGCAGGTATGCTTCATCTTCCTAACGTAGATTTCAGGATTTTGTTTTAGAAATTGGTCTGCACTTAACCTCACCATGAATAACCAATGTATTTCGGTACTGGTTACGCTTACACTATGTCGTTACACAATTTTTGCTGTTGGTAACGTTTCGGCGCCATCGCCTTCTTCGAACTCATCGATTTTGAAAGCTTATATCTCAAGAAGAAACAGCGTGAACACTGGGTTCGAGCCATTGGTGCTTCGAAGATGGCAAAGACTCCGAAAACTTAGCCACAATAACGGTTGTGGTATGAACGTCGTCTACGCTTAACAATATGTATGCATAGATTTTAGGCTGGTTTTCTTTCAGAGTAATGGAAAGTACGTTTGCAACTGACGACATTATCCTGCATTGAAAGCTTATGACACGTTTTACAGGGAAATGTGAGTGAATTCTCAGGATGCTCGGTTGCTGTAGATGTTAGTTGTTTGCTGCATAAAGGACTCTTTGGCTGTGTTGAGAGTGTAGCTCAAGGAAGGAAGTCTACATTGTTGGTTTGCAGGTTTTCTTATTCTTAAAACATAGGTTTTTTTAAATTATTATCCTGCTTCACTCCTACATTTTACCGTCTCATCGTGGTTAGGTGTTCCTGGGTGGCCGCATGCGATCTGCAGCGGGGGATTCATCATCCCAGCGGGGTCTCTCAAACTGGGAAAAAGTCCGGCATTTCCACCAGAAAACCCAGTTAGAAGACCCGAGATCCACCACCATCCTAGTATCAAACTAGTCGCATGGTGGCAAATCTCACCCTGGTCCACAAGGGCGGTGAGTGCCGGTGGTGGTGGCGACCTGGGGTAGTCTTTGGCCAGGCTGACCTTGGGGATCCAGGGAGCTACAATGGCTAAACAAGCAAAATTCCGGAAACGTGGAGATTATGTGGGGCCCGCACAACCAGTGAAGACAGGCCATCCAACTAAGTATTATCCTGCTTAATCTCCCAAGCATCGACCACACGATAAGTTTGAAGTCCAGGAAACCTCGTGGAATAGTTCAAAATCAAAGAAGAAAGATAACTACGGATTTTCTTCTTGTTGTTGATGTTTGTTTTTCTCTGATCTGTGTTTGCTTTCATTGACTCTATTGTTCAGCTACATCTACTATGTGAACAAACATATCAAAGCCTTGTTGGAGCTTGGTTGCCATGTCATCATGGTGTTTGATGGACGACCGCTTCCTGCGAAGAAGGTAGTTCTTCTGCTCTACTTGGTCTATTCATTTCCACCCTTATAAGACATTCAAATCAGTCTTCATAAAAGCGGAAACAAATTCTTAGTTAAACAACCATATTTTTTTACGATTTAGGGAATTCATTTTTCAGAACACAAATGAAGAAAGACGTCAGCGACGGTTTGATAACGTGAAAGCTGGTGAATTGCTTCTTTCAGAAGGAAAAATTAATGAGGCCGTCGACAAGTTCAAGAGAGCAACTTCTATCACCTCGGACATTGTAGAAAGTACCATCTCAGTGAGATCCACTCATCTGTAACGGAATAACTCGATAGTTTCAGTTAACATTTGTTTTAGTATTTTCGTAATCATGCAAAGGTGGACGTTGTTGTCTCTCCGTATGAGTCCGATGCACAGCTTACATTTCTTGTAAAAGAAGGTTTCGCTGACATTGTCATCACAGAAGATTCTGATCTTATCGTTTTCGGTTGTGAGAAGGTTATTTCCATTTTTTGGGAAAATGTTCAACTAATGATGTGGCATTTCGCATCCAGGTAGCTTTCAAGTGGAACTGTGAAAGTGGCGATTGTATGATCTATGAAAAAAGTCAGTTGCCACAATGTTTCTCTGGAACCATGCGTACTCAGTTTGATTTCACGAAATTCCGCCGTATATGCATTCTATCCGGATGTGACTATCTCCAGGTTTTCACCATTTCAGAGTTTTTGAAGTGAAAGCAATTCTAAAATGTTAAAATAGTTGTCAACTAGGCTGGATTACCTGGTATTGGGCTCAACAAAGCTCTTTCATTCTTTTCGAAAACCTCCAGAACCGACATAAGAGAGGTGTGCTTATCTTCAAGCTTTTTTCTTACTCACTTGATAGTAGTAGCAACACCATTTTTCAGTTATTACCACGCATTCCAAGTTATCTTAATATGCCGAAATTGAGGGTCTCTAAAGAGTTTATCGATGACTTCATTCGTGCAGAGAACACCTTTATATATCAGGTAGCATCTGAGGATCGATATTTACGGGAAATGCTTGCTTTCACCTAATGAATTAAGGTAGTTTTTGATCCACGTCAAAGATGTCAACGCCCACTAACGAAATATTTGTGTTCTCAGAACGATAACTATCTCGAAAATAACGAGAACGTAAGTTTCTTCGAGTCTTTGGTGGAAAGTAGCTCAGTTTGTCCCCTAATCTTGTTTTTCTGTCTGCCATCGCTTTTTCCAGGGTTTTGCTTCTGGTGAGCAGTTTCAGTTAGTGGATTATTTGTATGCCGGCGAAGTGATCTCGTCAAAATTAGCCGTTCGGCTGGCTTTAGGAAACCAGGTTTGGAATACTTTGAAGATTCAAGTTTCTGAGATATTTACATGCTTTGATAACCGGAGCATTTATATTGAATGACTTAAAGTGGAGAGGGCATAGAGTTAGTTTCTAAAGTAAATTAGAGGTCTTTATCCTTCACTGCGAAGTTAATGAGAGTAAAATGCGACCGTAAGCTTGTCGGAAGCGTGGTACAAGTTATTGTATTCTTTCATACTGCTCACATCATTAGAATCTATTTATCTGTGTTTATCTGCACACATTCTTATGTGTGGATGTTTGGAAATACACTTATTTGCTTAGTTGAATAGCGCCATCTGCACGAATTACAAAGAATCCTATTGAGTGGAACACTGTTTTCGTTTGCCTAGTAATTTCTTAGTTAGACAAGGATTTATTTCCCTGTGAGTTCAAAAGCAGTGCTAGAGTATTCCGATGTCGTCGCCATGACACTATTGGCGATTTCTTGATCTAATTTGCTCTTTGCTGAGCTTCTAAATGGAGATGTCAAACTGGTTAGTTTGGAAAACTCTGCTGCGTGATGGGTTTTCACTGTGGATCGCATTTAGCCGCCGATGAACACTGCTTACCCACTGAAAGGCATCTGCGCACTTCAGTAAGTACATGTGAAATCTCTCATTTCATTACGTAAATGGATGAACAGCAGAGCAGTAAACGTGATGTAGAACGGAATTGGTTATGCGCGTGCACATTTACGGCAAGGAAGCTGATGAAAAATGGGGGAAATTGAATATGTGCCTTGTGTCGCATTCATTGAAATCCTACATCGTAATGTTAACTTTTTATTTTCTGCCTATTACATTTTTTTGCGGGAGGGTATTATGTAAAGTACAATCACAGTGATGCTGAGATGTTTGAAAAACTTCAAACCGCAGGTTTCTGCGGTGGGGAACGAACGCGCCATTACCCTTTCCAGGGGTGACTGTTGGCACTAGTAGATAGAAAAGTGGCGGAAAACCGGAACGAAGGACCCGCATGGTATGGTGGTGGTGTTACTCCAGGAAAGGGTAATTGCGTGTTCGATCCTGACCGCAAACACCTGCGGTCCGGAGTTTTCTAAATATCTCAGCATCGTTGTGATTGCATTTCTTGCAACATAGTTCATACTACACTTCTGCCAAAAGCCCACAATATCCTTCTTGTATTAGGGTTATATCAGCACTTTTCTGCCCAAGCAATTCGACTAAACTCGTCATTGTTCAAAACGTAATTAACAATCTCTAGTCTTCTCAAGAGGAAAACGCGGATTTTCATGAACTTTGCTGCAAATTCACAACATGTTTCTTCGTGAGGTTATAGAAGCGTAATTAGTGATTATCGTGATAAAGACTTTTGATAGGCCAATGAAAGTTCTTAGGAATGGAGCGAGAAAATCTGAGTTTAAATGAAAAGGGAAGCCACGAAGGAACTAGGCGCATCCTGGAATTGCGCCAGTATCATTTGTCTGTTTACTTAGAGTTGATTACACCAAACGATTGGGAAAATGGAAATGTCACCTCTTTGATTCTATTCTTGTGACAAACGCTGCAAACGTCCACGTGGAACTTACCTGAATTGAACATTCATCACACCATTCGGAAAACGGCGTTCCAATTTGATGTCGAGTAAATGCGTGCGTGTTGAATTCGAGGCATTCTTTTACCATGTGCTTGAAAACAAGGCAGTACGCGATTGTTGTCTGAGAAAAACGAAAGCTCGAAAGAGGAAAAATAGAAATATTCTTCGACGATGGTGAAGTTAAAGCTTTATTCCTATCTTTTAGATTTCTATGAAAAAAGTTAGGAAAGAGATTCTTTATTGTATTGCAAGGAGCTTCACGTAATACAAAGGGCTAAAAGTGGAATTCCTATCGGAACTAGCTCTTCTGACCTCTCAGAACCAATGAATAAGAAAGAAAGTAGTAAAAAGATATGACTGTGATCTTTCTTTTTGTTGGTTTTCGAATGTTGTGGTATACGCCACATGTACATCCTGCGCCTGAACTTTTCTCCCGAATTGTTAAATATAACAGAAGTTCTATTTTGGCCATTATTTATTAATATACTTAAGGATTTAGGTAACAGCAACCACATTTAACGCCATGAATGTTTCTTTTAGTACGTAATGAAGTTATTGTTTTAGTGAGGTAGTGGGTATTTTTAGATCGAAAACTCAGTAATAACAGATAAGTTCTTCTTGCCTTCACCAGTACCAGAATGGTCCATTTGGTTCGACCGATATGAAAGCTGCGGAAAGCGCACGAGACATGCAGAAGAAGAACAGAAGGAAGAGGCGAAGAGATGTGGAGCAGTTTTTCGGGTTAAGTGGCTATGACAAGAATTTAATATAACATTGAAACACTGTTTGATGTATTTTTTGATAATCTCATGTTTACAGTTTGATTCACCATCAAAGAAGCGAGCAAAAGTGAAACCCGTTGAAGCAAATAACTATGTTGACCTCGAATCTGGAAGTGAACACTTGGGTTGTTCTATTAACGCAGTTGATGATGAACAGAACATTGCTCTAGCAAATGTGAGCGAAAGTGGAGAATCGTCATTTGATTCACAGAATGTTGAGAAGCTGTCGGAATTGCGAGAAATCCAACTCCCAGCAAACAGTGTTAAACCGGTATAGATGTTAAGAGGATATTTTACCTTTAATAGCTTATATTTCTTTTGATGTGTTCGTTTGTTTTATCTCAGAACAAATGCAGGTCCTTTTTACTCTTTCTTTTCTTGTGTTCTAGGACAGTTACTCAAAATCGGTCAAGAATCAAGCGCTTGGCTGTTGGAATGTGAAAAAACTGATGAAAGCCTATGGTTCAAAACCTGGTATGAGTTAGTCTTATACTTACTACATTTGGAAACTTTTTAGCTGTTCCTTTTATACTTGACATGGTTTGCAATGCAGTAGTTCTTACTTTTTGTAAGACTGTGCGAAGGAATCGAATGTAACGCCTGCCATATCAGGACGGAGCGCTTACTTCGTACGCAGGTCCGGTCCGCAGGTTTTACTTTTTGTTACGTTAACTTAGGAAAATCTTAGTTTTTTCAAATATTTTTATTGCCTTCGTAGCCGAGTTTTGTAATTTTGATTAGCGCTTCTGTATAACCTACTTTTAACTGATCTTGGGTTCATTTGAGCAGTATTGAAGCGGTTCCTTGTGAAGCTACATGATTTGCCCTCATATGGCATCCGGGAAGGGCGCGTGTAGCGCACTGGTTGAAGGCGCCGCTGCGACAGACGTGGAATCGAACCTCGCGCCCATGGCCCACTAAGCCCTCCATCCCTCTGAGGTCGGCAAGTTGGTACCAGACTTGTCTGGGAGGATATCAACATTGGCTCGATACATCGCTAGGCCACCGCGAGTCATAAAGACCAGATGTGCATTCAGTTACCGCCAATGGTACTCAATGAAGTCGAATGCATGATGCATCCCTCAGGGATTGATCAACGCCGAGAGCTTTATCCTTTATCCTTTTTTATGGCATCCAGGAGAATAGATGTGAACCGAAAACAACACTATAAGCCTGTAGAAAACGGCCTTGAGACATAGTTGGATATTTGTTGCATTGGATTAATTCGACCTTTTGTATATATTTAGTCGTATTCATCCATGTATGCGTAATTGTGTTTAAGTCCATCATGATTGTATGCTGCACCTCGATTTAGTCGAAAGCCTAGAATCAAATAACTGTGAAATACAATGGAGACTCTCAGTGCCGTTTCTAACTAGCAAGACTCGGTCAGGCGGCAGAGATCCTTTAACACATCTATGACAAACTCCCTCGAGATTTACCATTATTGAGCTGTTGCGAAGAAGTAAAAACAAATGGCCTCGTACGAAAAGTGTAATATGGTCAACCCCGATTTATCTTTCTAGCAATATATGTTCGAATAACTTGATTAAATGTGCAGGTAGGACTACACTACTTGTCGTAAAACTTATTTCTAATAATTTTAGGTTTGGAATTGCATAAGATTTCAATTTCTAGAGCGCTCTTAAAAGATACTCCTTCTTAAAAAATATTTACACTGACTATATATGTAATATTGAATATTCATTAACAGTATTTGACGTTTCTACTGAGCAAGCCATGTTAAGGAGTCCCAGCTGTGCTAATCCCTTCAGAAGACCAGAAATCAAAAAGGTCGAGATGGCTATTTCTTCCGATGTTGATTCGAAAGTCAGTTCAAAGTTTCTTCAATTACTTACTTGGGTACGTGGATGACCCGTCCTTACTGGTTGTGCGGGACCCAGCGTAATCTTCATCTATTCGAAGTTTTGCCAGTTTAACCACTGTGGTTTCCTGGAGTCCTGAGGTCAGCCACGCGAAAGTCTGCCTTAGGTCATCATCACCACAATCAGCCACCATCTTTGTGGATTAGAGGGAGGTTTGCCACCATGCGACTAGTTTGATACCAGGATGGTGGTCGGTCGTGGTATTGGTTTACTCTTAGCTGGCTTTCGTGATGGAAACGTCGAACTCTTTCTCAGCTTGGGAGACCCTGCCACGATGAGGCGGTAAACCGTTCGGAGGTATCATTTATTGTTTAGGTATAACGCTTAATGTAAAGAAGGAATTGTGGGAGTTTTGGAATCCTTATAAAAATGACGGTTAAATGAACAAAATTAATTGGATCTATGACGCTAAAAAAAGGAGAATCATTCAACGGTGCTAGATTCTTTTAGCTTCAGGTGTTACTTGATTCATCAGTAGTAGAAGACGATTGTGACACGAGTCCTTTGGTGATCTCAAGTGTGATCAAAGCAGTTGGTTGCCGTCCTTCTGGTTTACGGGAATCTCTTAAGTAGAGAAGATCTGCAGTTCTTATTCAGTGTATTTCGAGGTTTTCTTTTATTTTCTATCTAACTAGCACTAAAAGTGTCTGTACATTTGGAGCTAGTCACAGCAGTTTGAAGTAAATTTGTCTTGCTTGTAACTTTCATGGTTTCTAAAACGTAGAAATATCGCTTTAAAAGTAGGTTTTGATTTTGGTCGTTTTTGTTGGTTAATCTTGAGAAGTTTTTCTCTGAAATCCAACTGGTTCTGGCTTGCAATTCTTTTGTACTTTTGTCATCTGAGTTATTTCGTATTGTAGTATAGTGACTGAATGATCTGGGTTTTTGAGGAGCATTTTACAGTCAGTTTAGATCCATGCGCATGGCTTTCCGCTGTCTTAGTGCTCATTCACCCAATTATAAAGAGTTCGAGTCATCTCGTTACCCCAGGTTTAAAACGGCCTATAAACAACTTCTACATGTAGTTTTCCACCTAATTGTTGCCTTTTGTTGCTGTACTGAATTATTTACTATTATCAGGTAGTGTGCTAAATAGAAGTATTTCAATAAATATTCGACAGTTAAACGTAACAAACCGTTCACTCTAAAACGAATCAATATTCGCGAGTGCTACAGCTGCGTGTATCTGAGTGGAGAAGTGATTAAACCTTGATGTACGAAAATAGGAGCGGAACATTGCATTTCCATTGCTGAGCGTAAAGACATATGGTTAACGTATGTACAACAAATATTATAAGATTCTCAAGAAAACAAGTTGAGTCAGTCCATCTGATAAAATTCAGTGCAGAGAGCTTGGTGGAATGCAGTTCGTAGTAATAGAATTACATAGAATGATAGCTTTCAGCCTAAGGTTATCTCCGCTCGTCTCATACTTAGTGGGATTTGTACTTTTGGTGCATCTTTTGCGTCTATTAGAGCAATATAGGCGTTCGAGTAGATCGATTTGAGGATCTTATCGATGTCCATACCTCCTGCTAATCGCTGCTTATAGTCGACTACCAATCTTTCGAATGGTGTTTTTGGATGCTGAAAGTTTATTAAAAAGCATTTGGGTTAAAGCAGCGATTATGAAATAGGTGAAAGAAAAACATTAACAGTATACTCCTACCGTGAAATATCTAGGTTTTCCACTTGGTTTCGGGAATGTTGGCGCTGGTGGGTTTGTTGAGGAAGCAGACCTAAAATCAATTATTTTCTTATTTATTTATTGTTGTATTTAAACAGCATATTGTGTAACATAAGTGCCTGCCTTCTATTTTCCACAGGCATATTTCGCCTACATTAGAAATATACATACTATCATTAGGATGCTTAAATATGAACAAAACTCAGAAGCTCAGCTGGGCTGCGAACCCACGATCACCCTTGCCTACCTGAGGTTCCGAGTTTTCCTCATATCTCAGTATCCTCGCGGTTGTATTCCATATAGCACCCTGCCATGCAAAAGGCACAGGCAGTATATAAAAGGTAGGATATATTTAATATATTGTAGATTTGTTGTATAATATAAAGGTGTAAAAGGCAAAGCTTTTGGCATTGATCAGTCCTTGAGGGATGCGCGATGCATTCGACTTCATCAAGCATAATTAGAAATGATTAAATGTATATTTGGTTTATACTACAATCAATGATTTGCGGTGACACACCGATATATAAATACCAATTTTCCGACTGTGGAAGGATGGAAGGCTTGTTGAGCCGGTTAACAAGATTGAACCAACGACCACTTGTATATTGCAAGGCTCCTCTAACCATTGCGTTGTACGCGCACCGTATTATATGCTATGTAGTGGTATATTTACTATTTGGTAAGGCGACATATTACTTCCCAGGGTAATAGATAAGGGATTTGGGCAGACTAGGTCTTCGCATGTGATTAAACTGATAAGTATGTGAACAGTAATGATAGATTCGTAGGTTTGAAATATATTATAGGTTTCAATGCTAGCTTTTTACTTATTGCCTAATACTATTTTTCACATCCAGGTATTATATGTGATACAACTACAATGATGCTGAGATATTTGCAAAACTCCGGACCGCAGGTGTCTGAGGGCACTGATCGATAGAACTAGCTGAGAGACAGGCTCAACGAAGGACCCGCATGGTGTGGTGGTGAACACGTCAGTCCCCGGAAAAGGTAATAGCGCGTTCAATCCCCCACCGCAGGCACCGGAGTCTTGTAAATATCTCATCATTGTTCTTATACTATAAGTCTATTTGTACATCGCTGTGGTATGCACGTAGTATCGAAGGTTCTAGTGATATCCGACATCTTTGCAAATGTGATTAGAGATAGATGGACACTCGTTCAATTCACCTAGAGGCACTGTTTATGAGCATTTTTGTGAAGAAGTTGGTTTGAACACCTGTGTAAATTTCGATTACGGTAAGCAACTGCGTGATTATCTTCGTTATCGAGATCAAGCGGAGCACCGGTCACGAATTTCATATTCAACGCATTGGCGTCGATTCCATTCCGCGACTTTGTTATGGCTTTTTTCGTGTTGTTTGTCTAAACAGACTTGGATGACTAAAAGGTAATGTAGGACAAGAATGCATTGACAGAATAGCTTGTTCAAGTGTACCGTGTTGCTTACAACTTCATGTATTTGTGTAGTCGGTAATGTTTCTGATGGTGTGGATGCTTGTGGACGAGCGATATCGGTAGCCAGTTGGACAGTCGATGAAGTGCTCGTGGCCGACATTTCATACTCTTGGTCTTTCAGATGCTCTAAACACTCGAATACTTCAGTATCGTCACAAGTAGCAGAAGCAATGGAATAAACTTCTTCGACGAAAATTAACATGGAAACTGGAAACGCGCCATCTAGTTCCATTGTGAGTTGTTCCTCATTCGATATTGGCAGATCATCGTAGCTCTTCTCGTCGACCATTTTCTCTTCAATAGGGAGGTGCAATTGAGCAGTGAATATTTCAGCTTCGACGAAATTCGATCTGTTCTAAACAGCTATTCTACTCTTCCTCTTATATACTGCATAAAACCAAAATCAGACCGTACGTGAGTACAGCCGAATATATCGTAGGTGGCAGCAACAGTTTTTGAAGAAAGATACTGAAGAGAAAATCCATGGTAAGTAAATCTTGAAAGTTTTGATAGAAAACCCAAAGTTTAAAAAATTAAAAGGTTCTAGAATCAATGATCACTAGAATTTCATGTGAGGCATTCCAGAGAGAAGGAGAAATGGACGCAATGCATCTATAGCCAATCATGGTTTGATCTGTTCGAGACAATCTAAATAAACCAGTACAGCAGTACTGACCGCAGTGCGGTAATTTGAAAATCCGGCAACTTTAATCCATACTTTTCTTTAGTGGAAGAGTTAGTCCATTACACCTCTTATATCCCAGCAATTATCATGCATTTCTTCACGGCTAATTGGAAAAAAAACAATTTGTTATCCTTTTTAATGGCAGGGTACGTTGCGAAATATAACTCGTATAATGCTGAGATATTTGCAAAACTCCGGATCGCAGGTGTCTGCGGTGGGGAACGAACGCGCTATTGTCCTTTCGGGGGAGTAACGTGTTCACCACCACACCATACGGGTCCTACGTCATTTGTTATTGGTTCAATGACCATCTGTCGACAGGTTGACCAATAAACATTGTCTAGTAGAAAATAATATCCTCTATAGTAACTCTAATCCATATATCTTCTGGTAGTGATTGACGTCTAGCCAGATGTAACCCAAAGAATTAGCTGCGACAACGACAACAGCGATAGCGGGGCACCCAACGATAGTTAGCATCTATCCGCACAACAAGAGCGGTCACCAACAATAACAAGCATCTGCCCACAAATTGAGATTGTCAAGAATAAGGAATATGTTGGTATAAACGATATAATACGTCTTCAATACCAGATGGAACACGACATTGTTTATGCCTTTGCCACCATAATTGTGATAACGAGGACGACGCAAGGGTCAACAACAGTACTCATCCGCCCGCTCACCGTGGCAGTATGGAAGGACGGCGGTCTGCTGGTGAGGCTCACATGTCGGCGCTCCTGCCACATGCCATCTTCGTTCACCTCTTCTCATAGAATTACTCTACTGTACTTCATTGTAGGGAACCTCTTAGACGGTCACTGACCTTCCCTAGTATACATACTTATCATGACATTGTATCTGTAAGAGTTAAGTAACATTTTGTGGTTTTGTTGTATGTTAATATCTCATTGGCTTAAGCATTGTTTTTTTCCTTCACATTCCAGCTTCACCACACATTGCATTGTGGTTAGCCTATCCATAAATATAAGCAATACTGGTCACTGCTGCGCATTACACTTGTTACCATCCTAATAATAACATATGCGTTAAAGCTATTTTATTCCTATAACTCTCTCTTACCACATTAATCTCATTGTACTGGACATCATTCCTCACTGCTAGTACGGTAGCTAATTACAGCATGCCATTCGCTCTAACAGCAATCTGATCCCATTGGTGCCCGCGCTACCACATGCTCTTCACCTTTCTAGATCAAATTGTTTTATATGAAATCTCTTTGTCATATTAACCCCATAGCCAATACAACTACCCTCCTACCTCAAGGTGACTTCTTACTCATTGTCTTATGCTTGTTTAGTAATCCTGTTATTATCGCGCCACTTATGCTGTTTCAGTAACTTTTTTCGTTATCATATTGGTGTAAACGGTTTAATTACCCAAGTTTGAAATTTACGGTATTAAGACAACCACCACAAGGCCTGCGTGGCAAAGAACGAGCAGATACAGTTCGTCCAAGCTAACAGGTCATCACCGCTGCATTCAGAAAGCAAGTCGGTCTCCAAAACCCCCACGTAGAACCCAAGTCGTTGGTTCATTTGCCAATCATAGTCTACAGATCAATTGTAGCACCATAGAACTACAAGTCCTATTTCTTGACTCTCAATTCACAGCATTTCAAATGTCAAAGGGTAAATACCTATATTACGGAACTATCAAATAATAAGAATCAGGAAACAGATCTACCTTCGAGAGTCGAGCAGAAACCACAACTAGTCGATAGTCTCTACACTATGTAATATTCACTACAACCTAGTATTCTCACCACTGAACTACTACTAAGTAGTGAGCGGTCACTACCACACAGGCACATCCATCGCAGCCGCTACTACACCATCATTTGATTCCAAAAGATCCCGGTAAAGTACTCGTTGGTCCTTTGCATGTGTTGTAGCTTCCAAGTAGATTCCTTGTCGAGGAAGTACGAAGAATGTGGTATTTTTGGTTCAGAGTTTTTGTTAGGAAATCTAAATGTGGGGTCTATCGTTACCTCGTTATTCACTTAATATCACGTCAAACCTCTGTCGCCTACGAGCGTTATTTCGTGATTATCGTGGAGACGTATGAAGTGTCCACAACGTCTATTTGTCGGATCGTTCGCTTGTTCTGTCACCGATCCTTGGTTTTCGATATAAACTGGAACTCTGGATTACATGTTTTCCTTGCGCTAGGCTTATGTCCTGTATATTCAGTGTTTCGGCTCTTGATGTATTCGTTAATGTTGGAAGAATGATGTAACTGGAAGGAGTGGGCTCATTGTATTCTTTGCTACTTCCCCCTTGCTTGTTCTAAGTATTTACTAATTCACTCCCAACATCTCAGCTCATTCCTATTTTTGTGAAGTCACCCATAGGTAGCTTTTTCCACACAAGCCATCGAAATCGGCAGGCATTCGTTCTTTTTCGCTTGAAATCCGATTTTTCGAGAACGATTTATTCAATGAAGCGAAAATGAAGTAACTTGCTGTGACCAAGCTTCATTCTCATGCTTTAGAATTTTCGTTTTCACATGAAGTCATAGTTGTGTACTTTCCTAGGTCACCACAGAATCATCTCAAATCCGAAAGCTTCCGTGGGTCTATGTTCCTGTTCGCATTGTTCCTTCGAACTATTACTGAACTACTATACCAGTGGATAGTGAAGGTATAAAGCCCTGCTCTAGTCTTAGAACAAAAAGGATGGTTTCACCGTTTTTATCAATCATCTCACGTATCCTGACCTTCACGCTGCTTAAGTGGATGAAGCTTAATTCACTCATCCGTTGAGTGTTTCAGTGGACTTGATTCGCTCGAAAGACACTTTTGATATAGCGCTTCTCTAATATTATTTGCAACAACCTAGTTATAGACAGCTAATTTGTCTTCAAAATGACATAGGATCACTCTAGCTTTAACGGATATGTAGGGTGCAACTGTGGTATGATTATATTTGCTGAATACGGAAGGATCGTATAGGTGTATCTGATGTACCAGAGCCAAGAAGAGACAGGTGTCCATCACCTGCACGTACTGTCTCAGAGCAAAGTACTTGCTTGCTTTTAGTCGAAGTTTACTATTACTACATTGTGTGATGAAGACCTGATAATGCCCCAACGTGGGCTTTCCCATTATTTCAAAAAAACTGTGTTCAACTTGCATTCTAAATGTCCAAGACGCACACGCACTCATTCGTTTTCATGCGTTACCGTTGCAAGACAACGTAACAAATGAGTGAATGACTAGGACCGGTATGCTATGTGATGATTCGCTATCTATTTGTATAATTATCAGGTATTAAAATTATGAACATGTGTCCTTTCTTTGGTAAGTTATCAAGAGGCTGATAAACAATTTTTATTCGGCAAACGTTTCGGCGTCTTCGTCTTCATCAGAGCCGATGGTCCGGATCAATAGTCGATAGTCTAGTATAGTTTGAAATATTAAAATAATCAGTGATTACCTCTGCGTTCTTATCACTAATCCGTTGTGGGTGGTGCTTTATTTCCGACTGGCCATTCTTTTTTGGCAGAAGCAAAAGTAGCTCCTTCTCTGAAGTGGAATGTCTCAATGGTGACGTAGTATGATCAGCAGTCTTTCTTTCTTCTTCTGTAGTTGTAGCTAAATATACCGATTTAAAAGCAATTGTTTCCACTTAGAGATAAACGTTATGCGAAAAGTGACACTAATAGTGGAGAGAAATGGTAGACTCTAATGCGACTAATCTTTCATGCTTCTTCTATCCATGGATTAGCAGAAACATTGACGGAATCGATGTTGCGCAGCTCACCTTGAGTGGTTGCATCCATCGTGGAGACTAAGGTTGTTGATTCCTGAGAAACATCTGGAGGATTCTTACGACCAGTTAGTCGCACTTCGGACAATTTCTTCACCAGCTCATCACGAACAATCTGATATAAATCGAAGTCCAGGAACTACAATGCGTTAAAACGTTCAGCAGAACAGATTAAAATTATTCTTTTTATTACCAGTGGACGTCATCCAGACTAAAATAGTCGATTTAGTGAAAAGTCCATAGAAGCAAAGATTTGAAATGAAGATGGAGTATTAAACACTATGTTGATCGAAAAACACTACAACACTATACGCCTATTTTTTTTCAAAGCCTAATAAATGTATGCTTCGAATTCGTCTTTGTCACAGCTTGATGTTGGTCCGTAAACGCCAGGTTCGACCTGTTAATTACTCGAATAAACCGATGTTCATGGTCAAATTCTTGTTGACGAAAACTCTAATGTCGCCGACTCCTCTATTGCCCCATGTTCCGAGCAACAGTTCCTCTCCGGTGTCACAAACGGCATTAAATGAGCGGTGTCTTCTCATCCCAGCCAGTCCTGTGACGCCGTACCTTATCCTTCTAGCTTGCATGATCAAGTCTTCCACTGAGGATTCAGATGCAAGTGTACATGCGTTGTAGATACAAATGATCACCTTAGTAGTTTGCGATTCAGGCAGCCTAGAATGGCCATGAGATTTTAGCAGCCTCTTCCTACCCGTCCTAATGAATACTGCCGAATGGGAGGCTTTGTCGGAGTCACGGGACTGAAGCCGCGTTATTCTACTGTGTCTAGCTCTTCGATAACCACATATAGCTTGCTGTGCTCTGAACGTGAAGTTCACACTCATCATTTGCTTCCCACTGTCTCCCAAAACAGACGGTGGAGCTTATTTGTTGGCAGCATCTCAGAGAAGCAAAGACCGCTTTTATTTCATAATTGTCACGATTAACCCCTCATTCGCCACCTGAAAGCACATCACCTTGCCTTACGACGAACCAGCAGGAGATCCTCTATGAAGGACATCGCAGGTAAAGACAGTAATGGCGCCAACCTTAGCCACAATACTTACTTGGTACTTGATACTTGAACGGTCCGTCCTCACTGGTTGTGCGGCTCCCAGCATAATCACCGTTTTTCGGAGATTTGCTGGTGAAACCATTGTGGTTCCCTGGAATGCCGAAGTCAGCCCGGCCAAAGTCTGCCCCAAGCCTCTACTGCCACGGGTAGTCTCAGCCCTTGTGAATCAGAGGGAGAATAGCCACCATGCGAATTTGATACCAAGACGGTAGTGGATCCTGGTATTGTTTTACTCTTAGCTAGGCTTTCTAATGGAAACACCAGACTCCTTCTCAGCTTGGGAGACCCTCCCGGGGAGACGAATCCCCCGCTGTACATTGCAGTCCTACACCCAAGAACCCATCGCAGCCACGATGAGGCGGTAAACCGTTGGGAAGTCACAATAAGAATTCGAAAAAAAATTGTATTGTGATTTCGATTACAGGCTCAGCTTAACTGGGTTCATTATCGACTTGGGCTCCCCAGATCAACCCGATTGACGGGTGCTTGCTTCATCAGTAGTTCGACTGACATTTTAGTTGACAACAAATCTATGTTTGGTCAGTGAGAATCAGAAAGGAAGCGAGAGTGATGCTCAAAAAATTCAGTTTCTCAAACACCATGAAGTGCTATATTATTTAGAAAAGCATGTGTAGCAGCCGTTCTTTTCCTCACCTTCTCTGTGAGCTTAGAATAAGTTCACACAACAAATCCTGGTAAACAGTACCTTTTCGACACGCTTGACAATGTCTTTAGTTTCTTCGTCGGTCAAATTAAAGGTCCTCAGCAAATTGTAGACATTATCCTTCTTTTCAGATCGCTCATCTTTGTTCTGAAAAATCTTATTATTGGTAAATATAAACATCCTCATACTCTTTGCCTTTATTACTGCATAACGGAGAGCGTAGAACAGTGGCAGTGATGTCGCTCATCACTTGCAAATGGCTGGCTCGACCTTACCCAGGGTTCGTTAAGCCTTTTTTCACAACAGAGTTGGGAAATTGGTACCAGGCTTATCCGCGAACAGTTCATTCATTCCAATCCAAGTTGCAAGCCTATATAGCCTGGCTGTCTCAGATCTTCAGGGGAGATCGACTCAAGCAGCATTCAACGATGTTCGTAAGAAGACGACAATTCTCAAACAGCAGCCAAACCCACATGTAAAGTTGGAAGTCTTTCGTGCATGAGAAGAAATTAATAGAATGTAAGACCTGCTAGAAACCGCAAGGTAGATGCAGAGAAAGGTCATGTAAAAAAAGTGCGAAAGAATTCTTCGCTATTGTTTACGACCTCACCATGACAAAGCGATGTGCTTGAGTTTCTTATTGCTATGTATAGCAGAGACTTTTAAGTAAAGTAATTTAAACTAGGAATATTGACATCCATATGTTGAGATTCAGCTAAAAATAAATCTCCACCGAAAATAGCCGTCGGCCTGAAGGATAATTAGTCGCAATGCAGCAAACTTGTGTTTAATCTGCAAACATTGGTGTCTGCTCGTGGTGATAAGCTGGAAACACTCTAATAAGACTATGTCAAAAAAAATCTACTCATCAAGGGAAACGTGAAACAATAAATGAGAGGTGATCATATCTTGGAATGTCACCGACGTCGTTGCTACCAGATTAAAATAACACGTTGCGTAATAGGGACTGCTTGATAGCCTGCAAAACAAAAGTAGGTTCGCCAAGAACAGATCTCACTTTCCGCAAAATCCGTTGCCAAATTGAATTCCATATAAGTCCTTAGTAGAAGAACTTAGAGAACCGAGAAATTTGATAAGGAGGTCGAAACAAGATGGGAACCATCCAGATGGCGTTTTCCCCACAACATGCCTCTGCTAACCGAAAACGTCTTACTGTTTGCTTCAAAGTTGAGCTCTCCCACATTTTACTTTCACTTGCAGAATAAGGTCTCCTTCATCGATACCGCAGTCAGCAAAAACGAAAAAGAAGGAAGAATACTGCGCTCCTTTAACCATAAATTCGTGTTGCCAAGACTCACTCGAAGTCAACAAAACATGTGATAAATGGTTGGATCGACCTGTTGAAGGAGACCGACGACTAGTACCTATGAAGTCTGCACGACTGTCGTAAGGTAGTTACTTGATCATTTAGATTCGGGGAAGTGATTATAAAACTAAACAACAGTAATTCTTACGATTGTTAGATAAAATCACAGCTTTCGTAGATGATTTTGAGGACAACCAAGCAAAAAAATAAAATGAATCATCCATAAAATAAAGTAAGGGAAAAAACTGTATGACTATTTTATACCTCTTTACGGGAGGTAATAGATGTATCACCCTCAATTTTAGTCTTTGATTCGACAATTCGAAGGAATGGCTTGCGCGTACTCTCAACTGGAGATGGTGAGGTTGAAGAAGATGCACCAGTCACCTGTAAGACACACAAAACTTCCGAATGAGATCCTATGTCGATCAAGCATAAGAATGGGTTAGATTCAAATTAAGGGAAAAAGCTCCCAGAAAGATGGTCGAAAGATGGTAATAGCTTCCTCTTCAACATCACTTAGCACGCACATCCATACATTTTATACTTCTCATCGATGTTTATAAACGTAGACGATCGCATGAGAACGCGCTTTGAATTGTGTCCTGGGATTTAGTTAATAAAAAAGAGAAAGTAGATCATAAACAGGTGCGTGTTTTGCAGTTTGTCTTCTTATACAAGAACAGGCCTAAATTTTTCCCACCTTTTCTTCTTCAATTGCTTAACGATACAGAGCCGGTGATATCCGAACCTTCGAATCCAAGGATGAGCTGTTTTTGGACATATAACCGACCACAGGAAAACTAGCAAAAAGAATGCAACACTTGTCGTTCCGTCGTCGAGTGATTTGGCAGGACTCCAGCAAATCTTCAGCTTTCCCTGTCACGTGCAACAGTAGCCCAGTGGGCTATGCTCACTTTAGGAACTAGTCGACAATCACATCTTTCTTTCAGGTCAGGGTTTTCGTGAAAAACTCCGACAATCTGGTCAGTTCAATGATGCTGAGATATTTGGAAAGCTCCGGACCGCAGGTGTCTGCGCTGTCCGCGAACGAACGCGCTGTCTTTCCCGGGGAGTAGCGCGCTCACCACCACACCATGCGGATCCTTCGTTTCACGTGTCTCTCAGCTACTTGTTTTAATCTTTTGCCATCAGCAGTCACCCGCCAGCGGGTTTACCGGAGTTTTCCAAATATCTCAGCATCATTAAAGTTATATTTCGCAATAAATACCCTGCCGTTAAAAAGAATAGGCAGTAAATAATAAGTTAAAATTGTGATCTGGTCAGTGTTGTTCCTGCTGTGCATTTAACTTAATTACTTGATAATTGAACGGTCCGCCCTTACTGGTTGTGCGGGCCTCAGCATAATCTCCATTTTTAGAAGATTTGCTGGTTAAGCCATTGTGGTTCCTTGGAATCCCGAGATCAGCCTAGCCAAAGTCTGCCTCAGGCCTTCGCCACCGGGGATGAATCCCCCGCTGTAGATCGCAGCCCACCACCCAGGAACACCTCCCAGCATCCGGAGGAATCGCTAACCCCTCTTATTCGCTGGTTATCGTCGCTAAGGCCCACCATACGTGTCCAGCACGTGTTTCTTCGACAATTTAGAGGATAGAACGGCGTCTTTAATATTTGATTGTCGAAGTAGTCAGAGCTCCGGAACCGTTCTTTTAACTGCATGATGTGAGATACTCCTAGAACCGTCCTTTTGACTGCGCGTCCAATAACGCTAAGTGATCTTTCATACCGCTCACGTAACGACCAGGTTTCTCACGCATATGTAAAGGCACCACGGATCTCTCTCATGGAGCATATCTTGCTGGTTAGTTGTAAGCCAATGTGACGTATCCTTAGGTGGCGGACGGCGAGTTAATCGCGTACCAAAAGCGACATTTGTTTCGTTGACACGAGGGTGGATTGAGGGGGCAGATCACCCGTTTCTGCTGCGCCGATTTGACTCATACTTTCTGTGTTTGCGAGGACGTATTCATTCAAGCGTACATACGTGTGTTTTGGTTTTTCTTTTGCGGATTGTATCCTACGAGGCAGTTCGGTGAAAAGCAACCAAATAAGGAGGAAATCTATATGAGGCGGTGAGGAGTTGCCTACAAAGAGTAAGCTCCCCGTCTACTCTAAGAGAGAATAACAAGCTAGCTGTGAGTATACCCATCCCGTACGCTAACAGCTGAGCAAGCTATAATGTAAGACCCCGAAAGACCTCCCGACACAGTATCGTTGGGTAGGAAGAGCACTGAGAGAATGCTAAGATTTCATGGGTATTCTAGGCCGTGAGATGTTGATATTCTAGACGTATTCCTTGTCGAAGGCATCCAGAACAGCATCTTGCTAACAACCAAGTAATAAACTCAATAAGTTCCTGTCTGTGGTGGTCTTGGAAGGTGGTTTCTCGAATTTAGCGGCTTCTTCTCCTTTCGACTAGAAAAGAAATCTTGGGCGAGGAAGGCGATGGTCTGGCCCCGTTTAAAAATTTGGCACAACGGCAACATTGCTAAGGTTAAACCTATTTACTATTATGTGGTCTATTTCGTTATGGTACTCTCCACTAGGAGACTCCCACGTCCAACGTTGAGCGTGAGGGTTCTGGAATTGCGAGTTACCATGGATGGTCTTGGGCGTCATGTTAAACTCGGACAGCCGCTCACCCTGTTCGTTGCTTTCTAACCCGTGGCTCCCAATGTGACGTTCTTCTTGGTCTAATCTTGGCGTTGAAATCTTCAATGCAATGATGATTTTGAACAATGTATTGCCTTTTCTATAGAACTTCTCCAAGTCCATACAGAACGCTTTGACTTCTTTGTCATAGTTTGGTGTCGGCGCGTGAACGACGGCGGTAATCAAAGCCGGTATTGATCCACATCCTTTCAATCGCAGACGTCCGATTTGAGCTGTTCGTTATTCGAGTAAATCGATGTTCATGGCCAAACTTGTGTTGAAAAGAAAGCCGAAAACGTTGTTTCATGTTTCAAGAAAGTTCTTCGTCGGTGTCATGAACGGCATTGAATGGTTGGCATCGTCTTGCCTCAGCCAGTTCGATGACGGCGCGTTATTGTCATCTCTCCTCGTTGATATATTAAGCGCTAGTTTTGTATAATCTTCCTTGCACACATGGTATTACTCTACTAGGAGTTTATATGCTGCTAACAGAAGCAGTTGCCTACCTTTGTAGAAATGACATGAGTTTGCTGCCTAGTGAGTTCCTCCATGTCGGCAGCGATTGCTGTGATTAGGTAACCGACCACCAATCAAGGTTGACGTAACAAGTTATGTTAGAAAAGAAAAAATAGAACAGCCATAACTGGAAAAAATCTCTTAAACGTCTATTTTCTACTCGAACCTTTTTTGAAATATCTTCCCCTACCATTTCCAGGCTGTGTCACTACGTCTGCCTACCACTACGCCTCTAGAAGAAGGCTACGTCTACCGAAACGTCGCCTACTACTGCATTGAATGAACTCTGTTGCCAACATTGTCATGAAAAACGCTAAACTGCTTTAAGATGACGAACTCGGAAAGTTATTTGGATTTCAATGCAAGCAACAACATTTTCAAGAGAGAAGACGTACTGCACTACGTTGCTATTTTCGTCTTGCAAAGACCGAATTGAATAAAAATGAAAGAAATCACCCACTGGTATGGTTTAATCATTATACTTCCCGTCTTAGAAATAAATAGGTCAAGACGCTCCCGCTGTTTAACAACAAACAAACCTACAGTATACTGAACTATTCGAAGTGATTCCTACAAACATTGCTTGCACCTAGACCATCTACAAACCTCCGTCAGATCTCCCTTCATAAATGAGGGAGTTGAATGGATGTTCTCTGGATCGATTCTTCGTCGTATAAATGGTCGAATAGTAGTGTGATCCGTTGAAGTAACTGTCGTCTGGTGTGTGGTTTTCTAGAAGCAATACATACGAAAAGAAAAAAAGCGACTCATCAACGGAAACTTCAAGTGTTTCAAATAATAATAAATTTTAATGCAGTAATGGACATGAATAAATATAAAGTGAATTTTATCATCATCTACAGACTCCGAACTAGATTTCGCTCGGAGACGACATTGACGTCATTGTTTTGGCCGAATTCGTTGGAATTGAATGTTGTGTGTTGCCTAGATTTGAGCAACATTTAAGGTCCCCGTAATGTTAAGTAGTGATGCTTAAAAGACAAATGTTACATTAAAAAAGTAAGTATAGAAATTTCTCTCCGTCCAAGATTTTAGCTTTATGAAGCCAAAAGTCTCTTGACAACCGTTATCTTAAATAAATCTGGCACATTTCCGAGTTATTCAGTCGTTCTCAGGTCAGCCGAGGTTTTGGGTACGGTCTTGCACCTCACACATCCCAATATAGTCACACGGCATCAACTCTATGTTAACTTCGATATCGTTCTAAATTAAGAGCTGAGAAGAGGTAAAATACACACAGGCATACATACACCGACACACTCCAACACACACATATCAACCGACAACACAGCGCATCGTCCACACCGACACAAGTACAGCGACACACACACACAAACACACATACACCGACACACGTCGACACACACACACACACACACACACACACACACACACAGCGGCACACACATTGGCTACGCATACATCGACACGCGTAATCAGATACATATATACACACACGCACGTACACATACACACGCTCACGTACATAACATAAGTAATAAAGGATAAAGCTCTCAGCGTTGATCAATCCCTAAAGCTCTCAGCGTTGATCAATCCCTGAGAGATGTGCTATGCATTCCACTTCATTAAGTATCGTTGGAGCTGGTTGAAGGCATATCTGGCCTTTACAATGATACGCGGTGGCCTACCGATGTATCGAGCTAGTGCTGCTGTTCTCTCAGACATGTCTAGTACCAAACTGCCGACCCCGGAGGGATGGAGGGCTTGTTGGGCCATGGGCGCGAAGATCGATTCCACGAGTGTGTAGCAGTGGCGCCTCCAACCACTGCGCCACACATGCCCTCTGCCTAAGTAATAAGTTGCTTAAAATTCAACCGCCTAAATCAACTTCTGTCATAATATGAAACTAATTACTGAGAAAGATTCTTAGTAACCTTAGAGGAACAATGTTTAGTTTTCAAAAAAAATTGATGAGAAAGACAACGCATGTTAAATTGATGGAAATTTTTTAAATAAAATACTTATGTTGCTGAGATATTTGCAAAACTCTGGACAGCAGGTGTCTATGGTGGGGAACGAACGCGCTATTATCCTTTCCGGGGAGTAACGCGTTCACCACCACACCATGCGGGTCCTTTGTTTCGCACACAGGACAAAGGACCCGCATGGTGTGGTGGTGAACGCGTTACTCCCCGGAAAGGATAATAGCGCGTTCGTTCCCCACCATAGACACCTGCGGTCCAGAGTTTTGCAAATATCTCAGCAACATTGTGGTTGTATTTCGCTTAGTAACCTGCCATGAAAATTATAGAAGGCAGAAAACAAAACGTTAAAACATTATGATTTCAACTACAGCCATAGCTTAACTGGGTTCTATGCCGATTTGCGCTCCCCAGATCAACCCCGCTGACGGGTGATTACTGTGGCAAAAAGATCGATAGAAATAGCTGAGAGACGTGCGAAACAAAGGACCCGCATGGTGTGGTGGTGAACGCGTTACTCCCCGGAAAGGATAATAGCGCGTTCGTTCCCCACCATAGACACCTGCGGTCCAGAGTTTTGCAAATATCTCAGCAACATTGTGGTTGTATTTCGCTTAGTAACCTGACATGAAAATTATAGAAGGCAGAAAACAAAACGTTAAAACATTAAAAATACTTATGTTCCAAATTTATAGCTATGAACACGATGTCTCTGGTACCGTTCCCAAAAAATGAATATTTGGACCAAGTAAGACAACTAGCTTTTCTTAGAAACAAATCTGATACAGCATACTTACTTGAGAGTGTATGAGAGGATATTTTATATCGTCGAAGGCTCTAACGTTGCTAAGAACATCGTAAATTCCCAGTCGATTCAAACCTGAACCGAATTATACGACTGAAAAGAGAGGATACAATTTCGTACAAGTTAAGTAGAAAAAACGTTAGGTTAAATTGCCAGGATTAACAGCGAAGAAACCAGGAATATCTTCATTCACTTTTGTCACTCGTTGGGGCTGCATAGTCAGCTTTGAGCGATCGAGGGATACTAAGAAAATCACCCCTCCGCTTAAGGTTATTTATTATAACTGTCCATCTTTTAGAAAAATTTAGCAACATGTTTATTAAAAACAGTTTCTTAAATAGAACATCGCAAATTGGTTTCAATGTGAAAATGTCACGATGCATAGTAGGCTAGCTCTTCATGAAATCCACCATAAAATGGATGTGGAAAGTCGTAACTTGTTGGTCACTCATCAAAAACAGTCTTGAAATTGCATCTTCGTAGTACTTAAACAAACACCCGAAAATATCTAGCTTTGCCTCGTACCAAGACTATATCTTTTACAGACCTTTATATGGAAGTATTTCACTAACAAGGTAGGTTACTGTAATAGTAAAACAATAAAAGGATAAAGCTCTCAGCTTTGATCAATCCCTGAAACATGCGCCATGCATTCATTAAGCTCGCGGTGGCCTACTATGTATCGAGCCAGTGCTGCTATCCTTTCAGAGTAGTCTGATGCCAATTTGCAGGCCACGAAGGGATAGAAGGCTTGGTGGGCCATGGACGCGGGGATCGATCCCACGTGTGTTGCAGGGTGGATGTCTCCGACCACAAGCGTCCTTGCTGTTATGGTAATGCATGATTATCACCCTATGAAATTCTTCGTATTTTTGTTGAGCAAACGCGAGGTGTTATTAATAACATCTCGCGTTTGCTCAACAAAAATACGAAGAATTACTTGATCAATGCCGAGGTTAATAGAAAGTCGGTCGTGGGGGTATCACCCTATGATTTCGGTAGGGTAACGATTTACCGATCTCAATTAAGCATGGTGTTAATCCGTTGAGCGTTTTTCTAGAGAAAACACCATTCAGTGAATTACTTATATACATTTGACTTAGGGTTTTCTAATAAGATTAGTTCTTAAGATCTTCAGTCAAGACTAATTAATCCTTTATTAAAGTAAAAATGCCAAAAACCTGAACAATCAAGAACCAGCTCGATACGAGTTGAGTGCAATTCGGAATCATTCAATTACAATATATACCTCTTTCGTAAGGAGCTGATATTACGTGCCTGAATAAAATTTCTGCACCTGATGTTTCGGGGCGTAGAAAAGAATCACGCACGAGTGTAGCGCAGGGATTAGAGGAGCCATGCAATACACAGGGAAGCGATCACGCACGCGAGGCTCACCAAGCCTTTCATCTCTCCGGCGTCAGCAATCGTCACCAGACTTTGAGAGGACAGTAGCGCTGTCTCGATACATCGGTAGGTCACCACCAGTCATTGCAAAGGCCAGATACAGATGCATTCAATCACCTCTAATGATGCTTGATGAAGTCGAATGCATGGAGCATTCCTCAGGGATTGATCAACGCCGAGATCCCTTTTTAGAGAACAGAATCCAACCGAAAATTCAATAAGTAGTGAAAAAGTCTAGTTCTAGGCAGGATCTAGGCAGATACAAGCGTTCTTTCTGGAGCCTCTTCATGGCTATAGCCGGCGAAGGTTTCGTTTTTCTTCCTTCCTTCCAATTAGTGGGGTTAAACGTTAGATTTCGATGTCTAGCTGATTTGTCGCAGATGTTACAAAAACCTTTTCGTAACTGGACAAACTGGGTAGATTCGATGGAAACTGGTCTAAGATCTGGAAGTAGATCGTATCGAACTAGCGATTTTTCTCCATCCAAAAAGTTTCATTGCATGTTTTTTTTAAGTAAGCTGAACTTAAAAGATCAACTATAGCCATTCATAAATATTTTGAAGCCGTCGTTTCATCGCGCACACGTGGTTGTAGAAGGATTTTTAATGAAGTCGTATTAAGTCAAGTCACTTCTACAAAAGGATGTTGAACAAATCGTTGAATATCTTGTATTCGACGATATTCATCGAGAATGATTTCCTGCATGCCAGATTACAGTACATGTATAATTACACACCTCTGAACCAGCGATCTCCACTGGAAATGGAATCCTCCCATTTCAGAGAACTCCTTGGAAGAAAAACAACACTATGTCGTCTTCTTTCTGAGCGTCTGGAGTTTGTTATGCAGCAATCCTTTAATTTCGTACAAAGAAAAACACATACACATACCATAGGTGAGGATTCGGCAATATCACGTTTCTCAGAACCTGGAAAGGTATGCTGATACGTACTTTATTATGCCAAACGGTTCAATAACACGATCAGAAAGATGTATCAACAACGAAGTACACAAAGACAACTTTCTGTTCATGTTATTAAAGGGTTTACCGTAGTAAATTGCGTATCAGTATACCTTTCTCACTTCTGGAGAAGGCAATACTACCGAAACGTCAGCCACTGTTGTGTTGTACGGGATTTTTTGTATGAAAGCAGAGGTGTTCTGTATAACAACCACGCGAATGCTGTAAAAGAAAACGACACATTTATAGCCGAATGCCGAGGCTAATAGAAATTCGATTTTAGGAGCTAGAAATAGCAATATTTAGGCCCTTGTTCTTGTACCTACTAAGCATATATTAGACTTAATATGACGAAGAACCTCATTCGAGTCAGTGATAACGACTAGTCCTCCCAACGGTTTGCCGCCTCATCGTGGCTGGGAGGTGTTGCTCGGTGACGGTCTGCAATGTACAGCGGAGGCTTTCATCACCCCAGCAAGGTTTCTCAAGTCGAGGAGCCCGGCATTTCCATCAGGAAGCCCAGCTAAGAGCAAACCAATAGCAGGATCTACCACCGACCTGGTACCAAATTAGTCGCATGGTGGCAAATTTCTCTCTGGTCCACAAGGATGGTAACTTGTGTTATGATTGAGTAGTCTTTCTGTTCCACTAGGACTTTTAAAGAACGAATGGAATGGGAACGGATGCATTTACTAGTTGATAAAATTACCCAATTAAGAGTCGATATAGAGTGATGGTCCGGTCACAGAATAAATGCTTTAAGGATCGAAATCTGATTCAACTCCGTACTTGAAAACAACCAGCCAAACGAGCCATAGATGCTTCTGGGTGTCCAATTACAATGTGGAGGTGGTGTTAATCCCTCAACAAGGTCACCCTCTACGAAGAAGCTGCATGTTTCCATTCAGAAGAGCAGTTAACAGTAACCTGACACCATTGAATAGGTCATCAAGCTGCCATTTCGCCAAGAACTAGAAATATAGGTCATCACGCTAGAAATGTGATGGTTTTCTTGTTTCCCGAGGCAGCGCATTCACTCCCGGGACCCATTGCTGATAGAAATGATGTGACAACAGGTCCATTTCCATATTAGTCGTTATATTCGTCATAAAAAAGAGTCTTTCTTGAAACTAAGAAGTGGCGGCTGTTCCTCCAGTTGTGCAAGGCCTCTATTCATTCGAGTAGTGGCGAGCTAAATTGGGATGGCGCTAGCGATTAAAACAGCTAAAAGATTCTCCAAAATGGCGCCACAGCACACTGCTCTACATGTATTCATTAATTAGACATATTGAGTAGAAATTCATAAATAGAGCTGCAGATGAAAAAAGTTCTTAGGTAACATTTTAAAAAAATTTTTTAAAGTAACAATGAAAAGCTTTTAGCAAACAAAAAACAAAACTTGAACGAACCAGCAATCGGAACCGTTGCCATAGTTTGTGGAAATTTGTGAAAAAGTGGTGGAAGACTGGTGACAGGAAATTGAAGTGTGTTAGGAAGTCTGAAGTTCTTTCTATTGCAGTCTTGAAGTTATCTACAAAGAGCATAACATCTCAATGAACCGAAAATGAATCAAAAATGAATAAGACCACCGTTTTATATGTGTCTGCCGGTGATCTAAACGCGTGAAAAGAAATGCTGTGACAGTTAAGACAGCATGAGAAAATGAGTGATTTCTCGTCGAAATGCGGAAGAGGAACTAACAAGATTATTATTTAGAAATCATACCTTATCTGATGCTCGTTGGTGGGCACCGTCACCAATGAATTGGCCAATAATGCGTTGTTAAGCATGATAGCGTTGTTGATTTGATTTTGTCGTTGAAGAAACTGGTAGAGTGAAGCGTCCAGGAGCTGGAAATCGACTTGATTCCACTTCGGAAATTTTGCCAGAGATTTTCATGAAATCTCTAGAATACAGACATTGCTGATCAACTCAGATGACAATGCCGTTTTTCTGATTCTAAGCAACAAGGTGATAAGTGACTTGAACAACGAAACCCATTAAAGGGGTAAGAGAGATAAAACGTTGGTCTCTCTCCTATAGTGTATGAAGTGAATGTTTTTCTCGTCTTAGGTAAATGTTCTACCAACCAGACCAACCAGAGAGAATGCTCATTGGCTTGCTTTGTCTGGGGTGTTGGATTGAACCAATGAAATGTGTTTATTGCATGGCACTTCCAGTGACTGCATTACATGCGTCATCACGGAATCTATTAAAGTGACGATATCAGAGTCCTCGCCAAATGGTATCATGTAGCGTCTTTTGCTTCGAAATCGGTTGCTAAATGAACCGGAGCACGGTTCTGCAGAGAATTTTCTAACTGCGGTAGCGACAACGTAAAATATTGGTGAGAGGTTTTCGTCAAGTTCTTCAGCGTTAATTCAACACAAACACTTACCTGACCATGGCTCGGTGTTACCACCGTATCCTGTGCTTTCACTGTAATGGCGAACATGAGCCATGGAATTATGAACACTCTCATGATTGCCTAAAAAACCCAGCATAAGGAGAGTAATCTGATGAATTCAACATCAAAAACATCAGAAGGAATGTTCAGAATCAGAACTATGACGAATTTCTTCTGAAAAACATTATTATCGACTAGGACAAAGATCCGAGTAACAAACGACTACAAAATCAACAATTTTCATAAAATCTGGTTGACGTACTTTACTTATTATCTTCGATATGGTTTTGAGATGAGTGGAGAAAAGTACGTTACGACAAGAGATACGTTAGTGAAAATAACGGACTAATGAGCTAATGATGAAAAAGGCGGAAGAAGAATTCCATGTTGTCCACGGCTTTGTGATCACCTAATTGGCTTTTTCGTCAATTTAATCCAGAAAGACTTTAACAAACTAAGAAAATGGATTTCATAACTCTACTCGCGATTTTTCGTACAATTTTCAGCTTCTATACTAAACAGTGATAAACTTAAATCACCCATGTTGTCACCTTTTTATACCTTAATAAGTCAACAAGAAGTCAAATGAAAAAGGAATGTTTGTAAACAAACCAAGATATTTAAGGAAGCAGATTTCATTCGTTAAAACTAGAACTTCTATGAAGCATAAACGATGATGAACATCGCAAATTGACAGCCGATAGGAAAGCGTGAGCTAGCGGATGAAGTTCTTGTGTAAGAAACAATCGGTCATTCTTTATGAAGATGCATAAAATCCGACCGACTGCGCCTCACCGAGGATTCCATTCCATCCGTAGCACAGTGATTAGTGATGAACACTGAAGCCAAATCGAGGCTCTGGTTCCAACTCCTTCTCCACGGTGTCCTCCAATTCACGTGGAAACACCTTAGCCCGGCTGCCTCGAACATTGCAAGGAGGATCGCCTGGACAAGTATTCTACGAAACTTATAAAGAAGAAGGAAATTCAGAAACAGCAGTCAGAAACAAACTTGAAATGCTGTTCATACAGCTGTGGGCGATGAATAGAAGGAAAAATAAATCGAGTACAAAAAGTGCTGGGATCCTCACAATAGGTGTGATGATGAGTCAATAAGTAATCTCCGTTTATTAAAAACGTTAACTGGTTAGTTCCTTAAGCAGAGGCCAAGCGAAGAATGGCGACTTGAATCAGAACAGTAAGGAAGGTTAGTATCACAACAAACTCACTAAATTCTCTTTTATAATACCAGCACAAACTTTATTAGTTACGATGTTCTGTTCTGAGATGGTAGAATGAGCTCGTGAGTCACAAAGTTATCCTTCCAGATGCTTGAAGAAATCCCGTGAGTAATGTAGTTTTTCACCCAGCTCTTAAAACGAAGTCAGACATTCGTATAAGCGACATACTCATATGTTTGAGAATTCGATGTACCAGTAACTACAACAACAATAAGAATAACTGAAACAAGAAACAACAAAAAACAACAAAAGCAGTAAGAACAATATAGCCAACTACAAGCACAAAGTCACTAAATAACCCCGCTAAAATTAACTCTATAGGAAGGTCTTGGTCTCTAGTTAAACACAGTAAACCTTCAAGGTTTTTCTACCGCTTTTCCTACCATTAGAAAATGACTAGCGCTATATTTAGCAAACGATAAGCTCGACTTATTCATTCTAGTTTTCACACGTTGCCCGGCAAGCGTAACATTCCATCGGCGACGACATTTAATGAGATATCGAGAAGGTGAATGTTGGCACTTAATAGCTGATTGATCTGAATCCGTTAAGCTATTCGCACGGACAATGCAGCCATAATAGATCGGGTTCGAACATTCAAATTGCAGGACAGAGAATTCGATGTACGTTATCGCGCTGATTATACTTATTTGCAAAGATTATAAGCATTGTGCCGACTATCATAAATCTCTAGCCAAAAAGCTCGTTATGTCAATAAAGCGTTAGGTAAAGATCTACATCATAATAATCTAGACAGAGGATTAAGGACATCAGTCTTTATCACCGTGAACGAGGCGCACTACTATTATGTCATCTGCTTTCACTTGGAGCAGTTCCCGAAGTTGTCTTAACCAGTGGCAATGTTTGAAAATATAGCTATACCTTGAACATAACCTAGAATATAACAGAAAAACAAGCTGAAATATAACAAAAATCTGCACATAGATCGTGAACGAGTGGATGACTGATTTCAATTTATCCTAGTAAAACCTTAACAATTTTAATCTACTGAATCAAGATGGAAACCTAATAAATAATAGAAGTGGAGATTGGTAAAAGTGTGGAAGAACGGCAATAATATTGAATAATGTTTGATGTCCAGAAGAAAACTCAAGATACACCCTGTGGCGGGAAGCTTCTACTATAGTATGGAAACTGTTTTCATTCTTGCTTGAACAAATCTATAATATGTAAAGGCCACAGTAAAAATCTACTTGCCTTCATATTACCGGGAAATGCCGTCCTAAGAACATATCTTGTATGGATAGCAGCAATACGTTCATGCGATTCCTTTCCTGCCATTAGTCATCACGTACACCTAAATTTGCCTATGGGTTCTGCTGCTACTTGGGAATTTTATCCTCCTGATGCTTGAGCTTGAATACTGGTCGAGTCAAATTTCCTTGAAATGCTAGGGTAACCCTGCCAGAGCTCTGCTAGTTTTTCACGATGAGCAGACGCTTGCCTTATGAATCAGAGAGAGCTTTTCTGGCAAAGATCTGCCATCATTTTGCCGAGACTGAAAGGATGGGAGGAGTTGTTGACTTCAGGTGGGTCGAACCACTGTCCCTGTGCGCCTTATTGAATGGCAACCCTAACGCTGCTCTTGCATGCCCAAAAATGTCATTAAATAGAGAAAAGCTACACCCTGTCATAGCTATCTTTACTTCCAAAACTAAAATAAGTAACTGGGATCTTAATTAATAGGAATAGAAAACTTTTCACTAGTAGTGTTTCTTCCTTTTATCTGGTTTTCTGTTTCTAATTTTGGGACATTTTAGGAATTCTGGAAGGACATTCGAGCACAGAATTGTTTATTTGAGAGAATTATCGTTTCCATCACATACTAAGTATACTAAGACTTATACTAAGTAGCAAAACGGCTTTGAAATGGTTTGGAATAAATGAGCTATTTAACCCTACGGCAATACATATAGTTATCGCTTGCAGACGAATTCGCGTCAGGGAACAATAAATATTTCTCGTCGTGCTATATGCACTGAAATTTGTCATTGAAGAAAGGTTTCCAAAAATGGGTTATCGACAATAGGAAGTTTGAATAACATAAAACCAAAAAGAATCAAGGGGACTGTTTCATCAGAGATTTCAACAACCAGTGAACATATTTCTAAATGTTACCAGAGTTATTCAACCTTTTTTCAATCGCGTAACTAATTATGCCATAACAAGCTACAGATAAAGAAACCAAGATAAACCAAGATAACAAGCTACAGATAAAGAAGAGAAAGAAAGAAAGAACAGATAAAGAAACCAAGCAAACGGAAGAGTTGTAAGGTGGAAAGAAGAGAGAAGGTTTCAATTCACAGTATTGTTTTTCGAGATCGCTCTTATCCAGACTTGGAGCGAGACGATTCAAGCAGAATGGAATGATTGATAAGGTGGAATGTTACAAGCGGTCAGCGATGGTTTTGAAAAAGAGGGTAACGTGACGATGTTCACTTTTCGCTTTGGCAGCAACAAGTCCGTCTATTACGAAATTTGTGACCAATTCCGACATGTTCGGTTCATAAGCATCTCCGTTCATATGGCGATGTTGAACCAGATCGTTTGAAAGGCAATCGACGTCCTCCATAGCTCTGATACATTAGAAGATATCATCATCGGTGCGGTATGTCTTAATACTGACGCGGTTATGATCAGCAACCACCGACCGTATCCATGAAACAGCTAGTATTTGTGCGATGATTCTGTTCACAACGACACAAAAAGATCATCTAACTATGACTGTGCAATTCATTCTTTCTTGGTAGATTTTCGTTTTTAGTTCCGGGAAAAGACAGTTCGATGAAACTAACTATTATAAGAGTAATCTCTCTTTGATAAGCTTACACGAACTAAGTGATTTTGTTCGTATTTTTTTGAGCAAACGCGAGGTGTTATTGTTCTTTGTTCACGATTAAGCTGACGTTTCGGCGAATTTCGCCTTCTTCAGAGCCTGGAAAGGTAAAGTTGATAGCAACTCACTCAGGCCAGACGCCTCCATAACCAAACAAAGAAACCCCAAACCAAGATTTCAATCACTCTGAACACAGCTTTGCACACTCACCGCTTTCTATGAGGTCTCCACTAAGTATGTCACGTAGAGACCAACCGCACAGAAATCGTAGAAATAATGTGCCCCTCACATTATACTACCCCTCATTTTGTTTGGTTATGGAGGCGTCTGGCCGAGTGAGTTGCTATCAACTTGACCTTTCCAGGCTCTGAAGAAGGCGAAATTCGCCGAAACGTCAGCTTAATCGTGAACAAAGAACAATAACACCTCGCGTTTGCTCAAAAAAAATACGAACAAAATCACTTGATCAATGCCGAGGTTAATAGAAAGTCGGTCGTGGCAGTTACACGAATTAGTTTTTATTCGGCTAGCGTTTCGACGTCTTCGTCTTCATCAGAGCCGAAGACGGACTATCGACTCGGATGATGAAGATGAAGGTTTTGAAACGATAGTCGAGTAAAAATTATTTGTCAACTTCGTGTAGACTTATCAAAGAAGGATTAAATATTGATTGGTCATACCGAAGTTAAAGGAAAGTCGGTTTTGAAACATCATAAGAGTGACGGAATCTCATCTAACAGTTCTCATGAACGTGATCACATAATATGATTGTGAAACATCTTGTTCTGTAAAACAAGGAATGCGATTTATGTCTTTCAGACGATTAGGAAAACCAGCTATCATGATCTGTACGGATCGGATAACGTGTGATTAATCGACGTGATGGATGGATTAGTGAACATAGGGTCACTTACGCTGGTAGGGTTGCGGTGAATAGATAATAATTGGCTTAAAATAGAACCAGAAATGTGCTTGATATGGATAAAACCCTACAGTAGCATTCAATGCAAACGACGAGAACTCTTTAATTTATTATCCTTCCACCTTAGTTGCTTAATTACTTATTTAGAAAGTTCGTCTTCACAAGCCGTAGGGCCTTTGGTAGTTGCATTTACTTTGTCACTTCTTACTGAGCTGTAAAGGTAATCGGATTTACACCGAAGCTCTTCTCTTGGTGGAGGATATGAACGATTTCTTCCGTGTGTAAATCTACAATGCAAGTTGAGCGCGCTTCCCCTTCGTGAACACACTGCTAGGACGTACCAAGGTCTTCGCAAAATCTTCGCAGTAGTTCTCGTGAAGACAAGCATTCCTTGTTGTGAGAGGTTTTTCTACAACATGGATTCGTCCGTGACAGCAACGAATACCTTCGGTGGTGACGGTTTCTGTGAATTCTGTGATAGCCATCCTATGGCATTCCTTATCTTCCTGAGAGGCCTTTATTATCGAAAAGGAGTTTGCTGTCTAAAGAATAACATTCCTCCAGGAAAGCAGCGATACCTTTGGTAGCGGCGATTCCTGCGTTTAATCGACGGATCGATCAAGGACAATGAAATAAGCAAGCCGAATCCTCTATCGATTTTTATTATTCATTATAAATGCTCAATTCTCGTTTGGTAGGTTTTAGTTCGAAAAAAAGTACAAACGCACGTGAAATCATAGCGTTACATAAAATATCGCTTAGGATGAAAAGTAAGAGAGAAGATTTCGAGGTTAGTTAAAATGACATTGTAGAGTATATTTAAAGCTTATGGAGCTCCAAGGCCAGCATATGTTTAGTATGAGTATACGAAGAAAACGACAAGACGATGGTCATCACAATCCAAGTGCTGACCGTGTGAAGGGTTTTTGAAAGGAAACACTATAAGACCGGTCCACGTCCAGCCGTTGTCGAGACGTTTCGCATAACACCACCCACAATTGCAATGTGCGCTGCATGGGATGGCTAACGCACAAATTGACGTTAGGTTCTTCTCCTCATCCAACTAACTCTTTACTTTCCCACTTATGTCGTCATCCGTGAAATTCCGAGGTGAACCTTCATTTAACCTTGAATAACAGCTAATAATACCTTCTTGGATTATTGAGCTAGCACGAAGTTGATAAAAACGTTCATTTGGCCAACCTTTCACAGAGCGCAGCACTATTATAAAAATCCGACTTTCATTTAAACTGAAAGCTCTGGAGGGACGAAGATGTCGGGAAGTTATCCAAACGAACATTTTTATCAGCCTAGTGTTAGCTCAAAAATTCAAAAAGGTATTCAGTGATGAATTTTCTGACTAGCAAAAAAAGCAAAGTAAGTCGCCCTATGGCTATATATCTAATCATATAAAGCAAGCTAAAATCATTTAGGGAAGGAAATAATGGACCATATGATGTGAGTTCATACCAGTTCGTAAAGGAATGGATAGAAACTTCCCGACTGCGGGTTGAACCAATTAACGACGAAGCTGGTTCTTCGATAACAGATGATGATTTCTTCATTAATGGAGTAGTGGAGTTGGAAAAGTTGGAAACTTGACAGACGTGTGTAAAAGATTTTCCCCATTGTTCAAGGTTACAAGCAGTTTCACGAAAATTGTTTTTTTAATTCCAAGATCGTTAAGAGTGAAGATTCCCGGAAATGAGAGACGAAATTTAAACAATTAAAGTCTTCAACGTATCCGCCAAACAACAACGCTAAATTGAGAAGGAGCATCGATTCCTAATGAACGAAACCTTCTCCCATTTCACTTCGTTTTCAGGAAAGGACTTTGCAGCAAAATGAGGGAAAATAAGTTTTGTATGGTTCACAAATTTAGAATTTTGTTTTCATAGAATTTGTTTTGGTACAATAACAGATTCCATCTTGTAGGAATTGTTTTGTCGATCCCTTTGGCTTTCACTGGAATGATAAAGTTTAGCATGAGCTGAGACACGTTGTTCCAAAGTTAAAAACGCCTTGCATTTTCGCTTCATGAGCATTGAAATCAATGCGCATGGCCAGCAATGTGTTACAAGCTTCAGTATTCTATTCTTCTACAACTATAGCGCCATAGTCAGAGACAAGATTATTTAGGGACGCTAAGAACTTTGCATGAAATACATTTTTTTAAGTTGAATTCATTCGGTTTGTTGAACAAGATTTCCAAACATTCCTTACATGAAATCTTTATTTTTTCATTGTTTTTTCGACCGTTTTCGTCCCAACCAAGTCCACCAACTATCTCCGATCCTATTCTCTCGTCTTTCTTTTTCCTCTTCATAAAAATCAAAGCCTGTTCCGATCTACTTTAGCCAGTCGAATAAAGCTGATGCGAAAGGAATAAGAAAACACTTGTGAGCATCTGTATGGCAACCGCACAACCACTTTATTATTTCGAATTATGAATAGAGCTGAGCAAATCGGGTGAAACCAACATAGTAATATTCTATTAAATAAACTAATAAAAAGGATTCTGCATGCTGCCAAAGAAGAACTACTTTATCAGCATTGATCAAATAATTCTTTATACTCTTATCGAGCAAATGCTAAGTGTTATTTTATTCTCTATTCAAGAAAAAGCTGACGTTTAGGCGGATTCCGCCTTCCTCAGAGCCTGGAAAGGTCAAATTGACTGCAACCTACCCAGTCAAATACTTCCATAACCAAACAGAGAAAATGCTAAGCCAAGATTTCAATGATAGTGGTCGTCGCAATCCACCGAAACGTCGGCTTGTTCTTGAATAAAGAATAAGATAACACCTCACGTTTGCTCAACATGAATATAAAGAAAGAAGAACTACCTCTTCACTGATTTTTCTGGTTTTTCCACCCTTTTATAATTGGAGTTTTTACCACGTTCCAACAATATGAAAAGGTCATTGGGACAAAAATCACCAGCCGTCGACTCTCATTTGAACTCAAAATGAGTATAGCGCCAAACAAGTGGTTTAAGATCATGATAAAATTTAAAATGCTTCGAACAGTTCGAGTCACACATGAATCATGTGTCTTTGAACACGCATTTCTCATTCGGTTGATAGAACGCGGATAAGTCAATGTCGCACCGATATTAATTTCAGCACCGATCATCACCGACATTATACTTCCACGTGATTTCTGTGCGGTTGGTCTCTACGTGACATACTTAGTGGAAACCTCATAGAAAGCGGCTCTGAAGAAGGCGAAATCCGCCGAAACGTCAGCTTAATCGTGAACGAAGAATAGTAACACCTCGCGTTTGCTCAACAAAAATACGAAGAAAATCACTAGTAAAGAGTTTCATCGCCTTCATCCACTGTTCACCTCTTCCTCATAGTAGTGGGTGCGTAAATCCGGTGAGCTGGGTTATAAAGCGTGGTGTTTATCATCGGCAGAGTGACACAGAATAAGAAAGCTCTAATATTTTTATCTCTAAGAGTGAAACTATGCTATATCAGAGCCTGAAAAGCTCCGCATGGCTATCCTCTCTATAAAAGTAATAAAAATAAAAGGAAACCGAACCAACGGTGTAGTGCTCTTCTTCTCGCTCGAACTTGTGGGCTTTCATTGAACTTTGGGAATTGACGGAGACGAATGGGGGCTTTTAGCCTTCTCACTCGAGCTATACCAATTTGGTGGCAGGTAATCATCAGGTTCATCGCAGTCATTGATGTTTGTCGATCGATATACACGGAGAACATTGAGCAATAGTTATGATTATCAGTAGATTGTACAAATTTTCAATGCAGTCTATAGAAAACTGCATGAATTAGCGCAAAAAGAGCTAGGGCTTTCTTAATAAAAGCGAATTCATCCGAGATGTTGCAAAATTTCCGCACGTATAAAATACGCAATATACGTTGCTGCAATACATAAAAAAATAAAAAAATCGATCCCACGCCACAGGGCTCACCAAGCATTCCATCCCTCCGGGGGTCGGCAAATTGGTACCAAACTTGTCTGGAAGGATAGTAGCACTGGCTCGATACATTGGTACGCCACCGCGAGTCATTACAGAGGCCAGATATGCATTCAGTCACCCCCAACAGTGTTTATTGAAGTCTAATGCATGGCGCATCCCTCAGGGATTGATCAACGCCGAAAGCTTTATCTTTATTATTATTTATAACATTATAGATCATTACATTAAGATACAAATGCTATTATGCCGGCGAGTTATAGTTGTAGGATAGAATAAACATAAAAACAGAATCTAGTCATAATATGCACAACGATTCTTCTTTGAGACGATCGAGATCTAGTAAGGGTTTGATTTCTATTTTAACAATCTAATGATTTTAAACCTTACTTGAATCACTACTATTCCGTGAACGGCAACATACAAACCACAGACATTGATTTTTAAGTGGCCTCAAGTAGTAATCTTTGCGAACACTTTATTTTCACAATTTTAATTCTTTTTTATAATTTTATATATTTTTCTTCTATACACCATCACTTCAGCTGATTTTCGGACCAAGCTTAATGTCCACTTTTATTTTTCTCTCTCTTACACTGGATGTTATTCTTTAGTTCTTCTGTTTGATTTTACTCGTCGTTAGCAAATGTATATTGTACTCTTGTTGGTCAGTTGCACTTTTTACCAATATTGTTATTCTTTAGTTCTCCTGTTTTTTTAACAAATTTAAATTTTAAGATTTAACAATGGAAATGAAACAAACGATGGGTATAACCAAATCATAAGAGATTTCTTGTCACCCGAGGGCAATCAATACTTATGTTTTGCATCGGTAATACCTTTCATTTGCAAAGAATGCTTTATTGGAACACCACCAGCAATAAAGACACATTCAGTCTGTTTGTCTGTCACGAGATGATATTAGGCGACGATTCGTGCGAGAAAAATTATGCACACAGCTTTTTCCTTATCCTTGTTCAGCAACCAGTTCACTTGAACTGTTTCATCCTTGAAAAAAAGATGTTTAAACGTGAGAAAATCTTTGAAGAAATAGCTCTTCCTTCGCACTTTTATTTCTTACAACTTCCAATGCTTTCTGTGATTTTGATAACAAGCGCAATGAACAAATTCCAGTTCTTCAGCATCTTCATCACTCAAAAAAAAAACAGTAATATTTTTCCATTTTCTGCAAAAAGGGAAGCGATACGCATTTAGTAAAGTAATAAATTATTCGAGTAAGTATGTTGAAAAAGGCATGTGTGGCGCATTAGTCGGAGGCGCCCTGCAACACACATGTGGAATCGATCCCCGCGCCAGTGGTACACCAAGCCTTCCATCCAATCCGGGGTCAGCAAATTGGTACCATACTTGTCTGGGAGGATAGCAGCACTGGTTCGGTACATCGGTAGGCCATTGCGAGTCATTGTAAAGGTCAGATATGCATTCAATCACCTCCAAACGATGCAAGTTGAATGCATAACGCATCCCTAAAGGGATTGATCAACGCCGAGAGCTCTATCCTTTTATCCTTTATGTTGACAAACTCGGGCATGTCGTTAAGCTTCTTTGCATATTAGGCAGATATATGTTAGAAATGACTGTATCATTTGCTTCTTCCAGAGACCATGGTTTCATATAAGGTTGAGAACGACCTCACCTTTCTTGTCGTATAACTTAATTTAATGCCGCATTTCTGTCACTGCCATCCTGACAACAACATAGCCACTAACTGATAAGTGGTGATTTCTAGAAAAGATCTTGTACGGTTTTTGAAATTCTATTGATAGAGGAGGTTGCTTGCCCATCAAATCACTTGTCAGATAAAAGTTGTGCTTGGGACCAGCACGAGCCTTCATGATTCTCCATGAGTATGGAACATTCATTTATTTAAGCAAGTTGCGACAGTCATCTTAAAATCCATCCCAGCGCCATCGCTTCTCTCATCGCTGCAAGCTCCCAACAACATAGTGAGTCTATTCCATGTTATTGCGAGTATTATGGACCTTCAGGTATAAATTATGCAAACTCTATAGATTAGTTTGGCATAACCTAATTTTGCCTTGGAAATGCCGATTCCACTGCAAGCGACCACAAACTGTAGGTTATCCATGAGAAGAAGAAGTTTAACGTATCGTGTCACATCTAATTTGCTACACAACAGAAATTAATCGGAATCGTGCCGATCGCATCGTAACCAAATCTCTTCTCACACCGTAGCCCTAGTGAGCAATAGGAAAAAGCATATGGAAATAGCGGCTAACATCGACATTCTTCTTGTTGACTTTAGAAAATATTATGGCTACAATGTGTAGAGCACAACTAGCTGTGTATCTCAGATGTCCTCCCCTACGCATATCCATAGAAAACTTTTCTATGCTGGAAGGCCATTTTCCTGAAGTGCTAAAAGTGAATAGTCGGTTAGAAGGGGCGGAAGTGGTTACCGAATGAAAGTGAGATTAGTGTGTCCTCAGAGCCCATTAAAAACTAATAAACCTACATAGAGATATGGAGTCTATGCTCATTTTTGCAGCTTTCGGAGTTTAAAAGGCATTCAGTTCATCGTCATTTTACTTGATGCTAAAATCCTACTACACCATAAACCAAAAAATGATTGGACTTTAAAAAAGTCTCTGGTCTTCGCCTATTTTATTTCCTTCCCATGACTCTTTTGCTAAAGTGCAAGTGGATTTTTTGAGTCTACAGCGGAAAAAAACAGCTGGTCTAAAAGTTTTTTAAAATAATAACTTTTTACTTGTTGCCTACTACACTTTTTTATGGCAGGTATTATGCGAAATATAACCACAATGGTGCTGGGATATTTGCAAAACCTCGGACCGCAGGTGTCTGCGGTAGGCAAGGAACGCGCTATTACCCTTTCCAGAGGCTAACGCGTTCACCACCACACCATGCGGGTCCTTCGCTTCGCCTGTCTCTCAGCCAGTTCTATCAATCAGTATCATCAGCAATCACCCGTCGGCGAGACTGATCTGAGCGGTACAAATCGGTCATTGGTGATGGCACTGATACAACTAGATGAGAGACAGACGAAACGAAGGACCCGAATGGTGTGGTGGTGAACGCGTTAGCCCCTGGAAAGGGTAATAGCGCGTTCGTTCACCACCCGCAGACACCTGCCATCCGGCGTTTTGCAAATATCTCACCACCATTGTGGTTTTCAAAAGTTTGCAGATTAACATTCTCTGTTTGTCGGGTTCCGACAACGATTAGCGGAAACTCCTCGGCTGCCTGGTGATGATTACCTCAGTTCAGATTCATACGATTTTTAATCTTATTTTAGAATCTTTAACCGACCTTTTTTCAATCGAGACAAAAAATTTCTGATTGCTTTGAAAACGAGGATTTTTCCAAGAAAATCCAGATCCACTGACTGATAAACTCCATTTGCCAATAAGAAATTGTTTGAAACCGCCTACCTTTGGGTAGTTGCTAATAATCTCGATGCCTTTCTCGTAGACGCTTTCTTTACCTTCTTCTACTGGACACTTCACACCTAGAAAATACTGTAACACTAATGTAACACTGCCGTGACACGACCGTAGGACATAGCAAAGCAATCGAGTGAACGAGGTTTTCTAAATCTCATCTGCATGGAAAGTACAAGAAAAGGAAAAAAGTTATAGTTATCAGATTACCATATTTGCAGGCATCAGAGTCGGCCATTGGAAACTCGAGAAAAGTCTCGCCAATCTTCGCTTTGATCTGAGTTGTCAGATTGGACGTTGTTTCGTCTAAGCAGAATGCGCAGTGAAAGTGGATATGAATACCAAGATCCAAACTTCAACGCTATGAATCGTTATCGAAAAGCTTTCTCCATTTCCAAATTATCTTTTCGATCTATTCTTTCTTTCTCCTTTTTCCTACTTTCAAACGTCCCAAAAATTCTAATATTATGGGGGAAATGGACTAGGTCTTACTGGAATTATTTGCCTCTACTTATAAGGTGGCTTAAATTTCAGAAAAAAATTATACTGTGGGTTTTCAGAGCTTTTTGTCATTGTGGCCTGATGCATGTTTCGTAATCACATCAAGAAACGTTCTTCCTTTGTATAGGATACACGGTATTGAAACGAGAAGGGCAGGCACAAACTTAGTACAGAAAAGAAAGGCCGGAAATTTACAGCCTTAACCGCCTTAAAACTTGAAAAACAACATTCCGTCAAGTACTTTACAATCATCAGGCTCTAACAATTTTCCTTTTCGCATTGGTTACTTTAACAAAAGTAAATGATGATGAATGAACTAATGAACGCTTAAACAATTCAACCCAAATCAGAGTGGTATTATGATGTCGATGTTAATAAAGTCTGATAGTTCTGTTAAGACCTTCAACATCTCATCCACTCTGACAGATCAATCCAACTCTTTTCCATAAGGCACGATGATTCCCTGTGGTATTACCTGGGAACGCGTTCGGAAGAGAGAAAATCCTGCCTGAGCAGCAAATTATAGATCAGCTGTGAATTGTTCTCGGTCCTTATGAAGACAAGTTAACTATGCATTTAAACAAATAAAGATTTGTAGAACTGGCTTGTAGGATATGTAAAGACAAAGAATCAGCGGAATATGTCTATAAAGCGGAATAAAATATGTATATAAAAAATATGTCTATAAACACGTATTAGGATGTCCTAGATAACTTCAAAAAGTACATATATACTGGCATAGGAATGCAAAGAAATGGATAAAACGAAGAACCTTAGGTGAACTTCAAACTTGCGACTACCCTTACTGGGGCTCAATTGCTATCCACCACACCCAGTAGCCTAAGCGCTTGCTTTGGCTTTCGCTTAGCTATGTTTCTACTCTATCGCTATTGCCAACAGTCGCCTGTAAATGGAAATGGTCTGGGAGCATAAATCGGCATTGAAAACAGCTGAACTGACGCTACAGTTGAAATCACAATGTTTTAACTTTCATTTCCAGCCATTATTTCATTTATATTATTAACATCCCTCAGGGATTGATCAACGCCGAGAGCTTTATCCTTTATCCTTTATTTACTGCCTATTATAATTTTTCACGTTAGAGTATTATGTGATATACAGCCACAATGCTGCTGAAATGTTTGCAAAACTTCGGACCGCACGTGTCCGCGGTGGAGAACGAACACGCTATTACCCTTTCAAGGGGCTAACGCTTTCTAAACCATAAGATAATAATTATAACTAGAAAAAGTATAATGCTGCAATATAATAATAACAATATAACAATATAATAACATAACATAACAATAGCCTATGGCATAGTATCAGAATGGAAAATATTACTAAACTGAAATGGAGCAAAGCTCCCGGGGTTAACCAATCGCTGAGAAATGCGCCACTCATTCGATTTCATCAAGAATGGTTAGAGGTGATCGAATGCATATCTGGTTTATACATTGACTCTCGGTGGCCTGCCGATGTTATGTGCCAGTACCGCTATCCTACGATACAGGTCTGGTACCAATTTGCCGACCCTTGAGAATGGAAGCCTTTCTAAGCCTAGGCGCGGGATCGAAACCATTTGTATTGCAGAGCGCCTCTATTCACTGCGCTCCACGGGCTCCTATATTAATATTATCATGTTATATTATCATTAGTACCATCTTTACTTTAAATCCTACTTTTCTTTAATCTCGGCATTACTAATGAACGTGTGTTCCTTCTTTGTTAAGCTTACACGAGATTGATAAACAGTTTTATTCGGCTAACGTTTCGACGGCTTCGTCTTCACCAGAGCCGACGATCCAAGTCGATATCCTACGGTTCTTCGTTGTAATACTTTCTTAGTAATACCGAGGTTAAAGGAAAGTCGGTCTTAAAATATTGTTATTGGTCTTTGCTAGCTGATAATGATACCGATTTCTGCAGGATTGATTGTCCGGGAGAAAAAAGTTACTATCACCGAATGATCACAACTATCAACACAACATTCTGCAAAAAAGGGATGATTGAGTACGTATGCCTCATTCGAGAGATGGTCCTCTGGGGAGGACACCACTCGATAAGAAAGCGAAGACACTATGTCGAGACGAAGAAGAACCGTGGACTATCGACAAGGACCGTCAGCTCTAGACGTGGACGCCGAAACGTTAGCGGGATAAAACTGTTTAGCAATCTCGTGTAAGCTTATGGAAAAAAGAATATATGTTGACTAGTATTATCTTTGTTGTTGTAGGAGATAGCGCAGTGATTAGTGGTGCAGTCAATCAGGAAACAAAGTAGCAAGTTCAATCCCGGCCTTAACGCTTTCCTCCAACACACGTGAGAACGCCTTAGCCCGGATATCATCAGGACTGCAAGCAAAACTGACTCGACGGGCATTCTACTACATTCATAAAGGAGATGAGATTCTCAAGCAACTGCTGAAACAACACGCGAAGTGTTAGAAGACCAGTGCGGACGATGAGTGCGAGGGAGACGAATTGAGCGCAAGAGGTGCTTACTTGGAATTATTAACCTTATTATGCTTTTATTTGCTATCTGTATCATAGCTTTTATGATTTCTATTTCATAGACTCTGCTTGTTTTATTTTCTCATCTTCATTTTCTCTGAGGGTCTTCAGCTCATCTGAGCTTCCAAATTTAGCCCATATCTCACCAAAAAAGTTGAAACATTGTGACTGCAAAAGTATTACTTTATTGTTCTAAAAATGCAATTCGATGGAATAAAGAAGAATCTTGGACTTAATTCTTTAGCTGCTACAAGCACTCACTTTGAAAGCGAAACTTAAGGGTGGAACTATTCTCATGAGTGGATTTCTGTGAACAATGCGGACACTACGAACGCTCGTTTCATTTTTTTATTGTTTGTTATTCCAATATCCCCAAAACTTACTTGGAATAAATTTAATACGAATCTGAGGTGTTGTTTCGTCTTTGAACTCGCAAAGTTTCTTGCCGTTTGGTGTGTCCTTCAGACCACATCCGAGTGCTTCCACGTCCACAATTTTGAACTTCGACTCTGCAAACACATCGTTCGCGAATGAGTAAAGGTGCTTTGAAAATTGTGCCCTCCTCTAAAAAACAGCTCTGTATGAAATTCATGAGCAAGAAGATTGAATGACTACTCGTTTGCAACAAACATCGAGTACAATGTGAACTATGAAATGGCTCAAACACCCTTACCGTATCATTCTTTATGTATTGGCATGTGGAACTATACATAACTGTACCATCACATTTTTTGTTACTATAAAAAGAAGGATTTAACCTCTCTCGGCGTTGATCAATCTCTGAGGGATGCGCCATGCATTCGACTTCATTAAGCATTGCTGGAGGTGATTGAATGCATATCTGACCTTCACAATGACTCGAGGTGGCCTACCGATGTTTTGAGCCAGTGCTGCTATCCTCCCAGACAAGTCTGGCACCAATTTGCCGACTCAGGAGGGGTGGAAGGTTTGTTGGATTATGGGCGCGGGGATCGATTCCACACCACACGCGCCCCTTTTGTTACTATAGTTATAAATTTTGGATGAAAACATGAAAATTGAAAGCAAAACTTCAATCGGACGGTGTTCCTTAAAAATTATAAATGAAATGAAAACACATTTAAATACCACATCAGATGGGAACTGCTCCCGTGCCAAAAGCAAGCGACGTTTCAGCTATGAGCTAACGAAGAAAAGAGGCTTTAAGACCTGATAAAAAAATAACGGTGAGAACTAATGTTTTAACCGCTACAATGCTGCGATATTTGCAAAACTCCAGGCCGCAGGTGTCTGCGGTGGGACGGAACATGCTCTTTCCCTGTCTGAGTACTAACGTGCTCTCCATCACACTATGCGGCTCCTTTGTTTCGCCTATCTCTCCGCCGTGTTTTAATCCCACGTTACCATTGTATTACCTTTCAGCAACATTAAATATGCGTGACATTTTCCTTCTGTTTGGGAAAGATTACCGAAAAAAATCGTTGACAAGAATTATCTCTGTAACAGTGGTAACTGCTTATGCTTTAATTAATTATAAAACAAATAAACCAACTGCAGTCTTTATATCCAATTTTCTGGAAACCTGCTGTCGATGCTGAGGCATAAAGAAGAAAACTAGACAGCTGAACAAAAAGGACGAGATTCCACATCTGAAATATCTTGACCTCGCGTGATTCTTTTAGATTATTCACTTTAAAACAGTAGCAAGAAAGATGAATCCAGTTCCCAGCCGATGATTAATTTTGAAGAAAAAAAGAACCGACAAGAAGAGCAACAGCTGCGACAGCACAGCTACCAACAGTCAGCTGACCGAATGCGAATGAAATCCATCATAGAAGTTTTTTCCTAACAGAAAAGGTTTGTCCTACTGATTAATGTAATAAGCGAATAAATAATATAAATAAATAAAAGAACAGATGGAATTTGCCATAAATCAATCTCTGTTTAAAACCTATGATATTTGCAGATGGAAGAAAAATTTAACAATAATTAACTGCTAAAGACTATTTGCAGAACTTTGGATCGCAGGTGTCTGCAGTGGAGATCCAATGCGCTTTTACCCTTTCCGGAGACTAACGCGTTCATCACCACACCATGGGGGCCCTCCATTACACTACAGTTCGTAATACTAAAGATTATCTGTTTTCGTTTTTATTTTCTGCCTTCTATTATTTTTATGACAGGGTATTAAGCGAAATACAACCGTAATATTGCTGAGATATTTGCAAAACTCCGGACCGCAGACGGCACAGATCGATAGAACTAGCTGGAGAGACATGCGAAGCGAAGCACCCTCATGGTGTAGTGGTACTCCCCGGAAAGGGCAATAACGCGTTCGTTCCCCACCGCAGACACCTGCGATCTGGAGCTTTGCAAATATCTCAGCAATCTTGTGGCTGTATTATCTGTTTTCTGAAACAAGTATTCATTTTGCTAAACGTTGATATTTGTTTCTTGAATATGATTACAATTCCAGTGTGAAAATGTGCAAATAACAGCTAGAATTTTTATTCTATGGCAAACAGTGAGTGAGATTAAGGAGAACAGAGATGTGCTGATACCCATCAGTGTATTAGTCGTTTGGTCAGTGCATCTATTGCTTGGGAGATCACGGAAGGGTTAGTTCAATCTCAAACTTGCGCTTGTGAATAATACAGGAATAGCCACAGAGTGACATAAGTGAAGGGTTAGCGGTTACATCAAGGTTAAAGAATATCTTTAATATATCGATGCTACTGAGGATGAGTGTCTTTCACAAGCTGATGGTGGATTGTATATATCATCTGAAGGCAAGCGTTACAGCAATGGGCGTGACTCTTTCTTAGCCACTGTTGTTTATAAATGCGCAGATGTTAAATCACAAAAACATTACAGATTATCTTCCCGTCGGCTGTAAAACCACAACATCATGCAGCTTTTGCTACGTCGTGTAGAACTAATCGAAGAAAAATAAAGGATAAGACAGATTCTCGATGGGACGGTCTGTTGCTCTATCTGCCCGTCTGCTAGTCGGTCGGCAGGTCGGCAGATCGCTTTCACTGTCTGTTCGTTTGTCGGTCGGTCGGTTCGGTCAAAGCCTAGCACGAACAGCTGCCTTTAGTTCCTCCTATCACTGAATGCATTGAGGGAAAACGGTGTTCGGGAATCAATGATAACTCTTCGGAATAGAAATCCCTGTCTATCAATATGTATCTTGTTCCAAAATAACTGAAAAAGCCGTAGTAAGTTTTTGTTAAAATTGTAACAATAGCCATGACAACATGCGTGAACACATCCACATTTTTCACTCAAATATTTGTTCTTGGAAACGGTCATTGCTACATCGTTAATTTTTTCGCACAATGTTCTTTTACATCTACTGTATGGATCGCAGCACTTCTCGCATTTGTCTCGTTTCTTCGCATCCAGCGGCGTCCATTAGGGGTCTTCGAATTTTTCGAACGTTGGGTTCGGCTGCTGCTTGACGATTTCCCCTTCTTCATGGGTGTTGCCGAACGCTGGTCGAGCCGATTCTCCATGGAGTCCTGTGATAGCTGGGCTGGAACTTTCCCACTAGGATTGCATAGAGTGAAGTTTTTCCATCCAAGTCTGGTACCAGTTTCGCGACTCCGCAAGCGAGGAGTTTGGTAAGGCAGCGATGGGATCTAACCAGAACCAGGCTCCTAGTGATCTGCATCACTACCACTGCACTATCCACCCCCTAGATCGCTAATAATGTTGATAATGATAATATTTAGACGGGCCTGTAGCTCAGCGATTATAGGTGCCCCTAACACAGTCATTGTCGTTGGTTCGACCAGTGCCCGGCTAATCGGGTCCCAAATTGGTTCCAGGCTTGTCTTGGAGGCGAAGAAAGTATTTAAACCCTCAGTAAGCTCCGGAAAGCCACTGTATTGTCCAAATACGCACTCGTTTACCTCTGCGATACTCTATAGAGTCGAAACTATGCGCATCATTGAAGGATCGATCAACGAGCAGTCGACCACCCCTTCTCCTTTACTTAGATGCTTAGACGATCCATCCTAACATTCTGATTGCAATGCGTTCGCCGGTTTTTATAGGTCCGAGATGTGCTGCCGTGAAACACGGATTTCTCCGTGGTCCCGGCAACTTCTGCGATTAGTTGACTAATCGCTAAGGGACGGTGTAACAAGTGGAATCCAGTAATATTAATAACAATAATAATAATAACAATTAATAATGGGAATTGATAATAATAATAACAACAATAATAATAATAGTAATAGTAATAATAATAATAATAATAATAATAATAATAATAATAATAGCATCAATAGTCCCTTGGCTTCTACTTTCTTCCTATTCTTTTTTGTCTGGGGACCACTAATCGGCACCGAGCCCAGTTGAGATGAACTTGCATTCGATCGGGTAAGCGCGGATTCGAAGCTCATCTGAAGTTCCGAGTTTTGTCAATAATATTGGTATTAGTAATCATGTAAATAACAGCAACAACAGTACTAGTAGCAATAAACTAAATATAAGTCTTAATGGTTTTTCAAAAATTAAAAAATTTCATTGAAGACAATGCCATGCATATTTTTGTTACTGAAGACTGACTAAATAACTTGGATACTTGGACGGCCTATCCTCATTGCTTGTGCGGGCCCCAGCATATTCTCCATTTTTCGGAGTTTTGCTGATTCAGTTATTGTTTTCATGGAGTCCCGAACTCAGCCTAGCCAAAGCCTGCCTCAGGTCGTCACCACCACAAGCGCCGCAGCCGTTGTGGATCAGTCGGAGAATTGCCACCATGCGACTAGTTTGATACACGGACAGTAACATATCATAGCTTCACCGCTGTACATAGCAGTCCGTCACCTAGGAACACCTCTCAGCCACGATGAGGCGGTAAACCGTTGGGACGAGTCAATGACTAAACAGTTAAAAATTCCCAACCATGATATTTGCCATTTCTCTAGAAAGAAAAAACAGAACAAGCAAAGTTTGGCATTCGTTAGTAAAAAAAATTCCTATGCTTTCCAAACCTAACCATACCAATACAGGAAAAGAAACATTAAGAAATGGAAGTGTTCAAAAAATGTCGTTCAGTGTGTATGAATTTTCCTCTGAAGAAAAAGGCGTCACAGTGATTTGGCAAGTTTCTGGTTCCGAAATATGTCTAAAAAGCCCAAATGCTGCTGGGAATCCTGAGAAATTAACATTTTCCCTGTAAATGACGTCCGTGAGTTCTGGCGGTGCTTTCTTCCACCATCTTCAATCACATGCCAATCGTTCCTTCTTTTAATCCCAATGTGTTCAATGATTTATTGATTAAGTGAAAAGCTCTGATGATCGTCTTTTTTGCTCCCGTGGTTGATAAGCGAAACATCCGGAAGAGTGATGACGTCACAACGTCGTCGCCGCGAGCGAATTCGGCTTTCCATCCGCGTTCCGACCACATTCCGTCGCGCCTTGGCTACAGCACGGACTAACGGTAAGAGACCGTCATCGTCGTATCGTCTCGACTCGTCTCGTCGCCGATGTACCGTCGCGGCGCACCTACACAGCGACCACCACCACCACTATTACCTCTTTCAATCGATCCGGTTCCGTTCGTTTTCACCATAAATCAATAGTTCCATTCAGATTCCTTAGAAGTAAAAATACTCACCGCATTCTAGGCTATTTACCGTTTCTACCTAATCACTTCGTAATTTGTGATGGCAAAGACGAGCTTCTCATGCTATAATCCTATTTTGATCTACTAGCATGTTTTCCTTGTACGAGTTGTCCGGTGCCCCATAAACAAAACTTGCTTCGATTTACCAGCATTTTTTTTCTGTTGCGGAAATTTCGTTTATTGATTCCTGAAAAAGTCATGTTAACGAATTCAGTTTGCTTCATGAAAGTGTTTTTTATTTGGTTTTAAAGTAATTGGATGGTATTGATGAGATAAATATGATCGATCGTGCGGTATCCATACATCCATAATTTTGTAAAGTCTAGGTTTTCATTCCAACGAAAATAACAAACAATAAATGTGGTGTGTTTTAACCCTTTTATTTACTGCCTTTTTCTTTTTAATGGCAGGATATGTTGCGAAATATAACTCGTATATAATGCTGAGGTATTTGCAAAACTCCGGACCGCAGATGTATGCGGTGGGAAACGAACGCGCGCTATTGTCCTTACCGGGGAGCAGCGCACCTCACCACCACACCATCCCGGTCCTTCGTTTTGCTTGTCTTTCAGCTAGTTCTATCGATCTTTTTGCCATCAGCATTTGCCTTTTTGCCATTATATACGAGTTATATTTCGAAACATACCCTGCCATTAAAGAGAAAAAGGTAGTAAATAAAAGGGTTAAGATTGCGATTATAACTAAGCCTCAGCTTAGCTGGGTTCAATGCCGATTCGGGCTCCCCAGATCAATCCCGTTGACGAGTGATTGCTGATGGCAAAAATATCGATAGAACTAGCTGAGAGACAGGGAAAACGAGGGACCCGGATAGTGTGGTGATGAAGTGCGCTGCTCCCCTGTAAGGACAACAGCGCGTGTTCGTTTCCCACCGCATACACCTGCGGTCCGGAGTTTTGCAAATATCTCAGCATTATATATGTGATGTGTTCGTAAATGGATACCTACTTGAGTGCGTGGATGGCCTTCACAGAACCGCCTTCACTGGTTCTGCGGACCCGAGCATCATTTCCGTTTTTCGGAGTTTTATTGATCTAGCTATTATGGCAGTTCCCTGGAGTTCCGAGGTCGGCCCGGCTAAAGTCTGCCTATGTTTGTAAATGACAATAGAAAAGCTGATACATTTGGCTGATTGGTTTCCGGAAACAAAAAGTTGTTTGCCACCAATTTTGACCGTGTTTGACTCTTCCTCTGAGATTTCAAAAGAAAATTCGCGTTTCGTGTTGTGTCTATAAATAAAAGGATAAAAGATACCAATATCGACGCTGATTATTCCCTGAGTGATGCTCCATGCCTTCGCTTCCGTAGAGGATGGCGAGGCATTATTGAAGGCATATTTGGCCTATACACAGACTAGATGGCTTACCAGTGAATTAGTTCAGTCTTTTCTATCCTCTTAGACAATTCAGGTATCAATTCGCCGACCCAGGAGAAATGGAAGGCCTGGAGCACAGGAACGAATCAAGGGCCACGTGTGTATCGCGGTACCCTTCCCACCCTGAGCTATGCCAGCCGCGCGTTTATAAATAATTTCTGGATTCGAGATTCGATATAAGGTATTAAGTCGACTGTTATGTGGTGCTTGGAATGAATGGGGATTCTGCCTATCTTTGAGGAAACAGTGAAGATCTTTCCCATCATCCCATTAAAATACACTAACTGTTACAGTGAACTTTAATAGAATCTTTTGTTAGTGCCACCATCTGTCCGAATTTCCTTAATCCTTTGGGCCCGACATGAGTTGATTTGCTTTCACGTGGTGGAGAAATAACGACTCTCCTCTAATTCAAACCAATATATCTTAGCTCAAAGTGAACCTCAGTGATTGCAATGAAGAATATGAGAATCTTCAAACTTTTGCTTATAGGATAAAAGCTCTCTTATTTTACAGCGATGGAATCCTGACCCTCTGAAGAACACCAAATCTACTTTTTGTAGTCTTTTTCGTCACAGCTCGTATTTTGAAAATGGAAGCAGTCAGACAAGCAGTGTTTCGTGCATCAGAACACGATGAACTCGCAAAACGAACTGTTGTTGCTTGTGACTGGCCGAATTCCATTTGGAATCTTAAAAAACTTAAATATCTCCTCTACTCCTTCCGGAAATTTGGATTCGAAAGAACTTCGAAAATCAAATGGTGATTTTAACGAGTCATAGTCGCGCTTAAATAAATAGAGGTTGGTCTCTTCTATAAGCCGATCACGTGTTCAGGTAGCCAACTATTCTGGTTGTCAAAGAATTAACAACAGTTTGCGAGAAGCCTCGTTCAGACACTAGCTGTTAAACATCTATTCGCTTCCAGTTTGTTATTATTTACTAATATTGTCATTGTCATTGTTATTACAGTTATCGATGCTATTACTGCTATCGTTATACTTCTTATCAACTGCAGGTGTTATTCTGAACTTATCTTTCTACTTCATTCCTTTTTTCATGGAATATCTTTCCAATCCATCAAGAGTTTGGTGTAATCAATGACTGGAACTGATTTTTTAAAAATATTTTATACGATCCGTCTTCACGTCTACTGTGCGAATCCCAGCACTTTTCATATTCGATTCGATTCCTCGCATTCACTGTCCACGAAAATCTTCCAGTTTTCACCCGTGGCTTCCGTTGCTGTTTGCGGATTTCTATTTCATCTTGAATGACGTAGAGGACTGGTTGAGTCGATACTCACCGGAGTCCTGACGTAGCCGGGCTGGAGCGCTCCCAATTGGATTGCAGAGAGTGATTTTTTCCGGACAAGTCCGATACCAATTTCCCGACTCTGATGAAAGGGTGGGTTGGTCGGTTGGTCCGGAGCGGAATCGAACTAGCACCACGCTCGTGGTGACCGACTTCACTATCACTATGATATCCGCCCACAGGAATTTCTGGCAGGAAATTCATTGCGCTTAGATATATGGCTGTAATGCCGGTTTTCACTTCATATTCATCATTTATCTCCAACCAATGCTTATTATTTACTTTTAATTATCAGTCATCCCTCGTGAACAACACGTGGGTGGTCAAACGGTAAGGCTCTGAGAAAGACGAAGTGGTCGAAACGTCAGCAATTTAATAAAGGCAACAACAACAATAAGAACATCTACACCAACCTCGCGTCGGCTAAAAAAGGGCAGTTCGTAAGAGCACATATACAGATATATCGATTTTAATGCCGTGCTTTATAGGAAGTCGATCTTTTAGATTATCAGTCAGTTTAGTATCCACTTTTATTCTTATGTTAATGGAATTTCGTTTTTGCGTTGGTCTTTTTAACACCTTCGCGACGACCACCACCTATAAATGTTTTGGTGGTTCCGCGAGAATGGCCGGTATGATATCTATAGGTCTCATATAATTCAAGGTGATTTGTTTTAACGCATAGAAATATTTCAATGCAATATTATAAACAGAATTCCATTTATGTTCGGTATAAACGACCAATTTACCTTGTTTCACCGATACGCTAACACAAGGTTGTTACCGCCTATTCATTCGGCTAACGTTTCGACGTCTTCATCTTCTTCAGAGTATAGCCTTCAACGTATTAAGTAGCACCATAAATATTACTCAAACCCGTAGAACAATAGAACAAAGTTTTTTCTACAATTGAATCCTGTTAGTAACCCATAAAGTGATCTACTGATCGAAAAACTACTGTTTTTAGAACCACAGTGATGCTGAGATATTTGCAAAACTCCAGACCGCAGGTGTCTGCGGTGGGTATCGAACATGCTACTACTCTTTCCAAGGCTAACGTGTTCATCAATGCAACGAAAGGGGAAACGAAAGGCCCGCGTGGTGTGGTGGTGAACGCATTAACCCCAGAAAGGGTAATAACGTGTTCGATCCTCACAGCGGACACCTGCAGACCGCAGTTTTGCAAACATCTCAGCATCGTTGTGGTTGTATTTCACATAATACTCTACTGTGAAAAGTTTTAGTAGGCAGTAAAGTAATCTATAAGTTAACTACTGTCTAATTTCAAAAAGCTAACAGGTGCATAAAGGCTGAAAATTAAGCGGCGTCCAATCCGTAAATGAGCCGAGTTTTTTCCTATAACAAACTTTCTTTTGCACATGTGCAAATTTTCCTAGTGCAGATCTATGACAGGGCGCATGCGGCGCAATGGTCGTAGGCGCGCTGTGACGCACACGCGAAATCGATCCCGTGCTCATGGCCCATCAAGCCTTCAGTCACTCTAATGTCGGCAATTCGGTACCAGACTTGTCTCGGCGGTTAACAGCACTGGCTCGATACATCGGTAGGCCACCGCGAGTCATTGTAAAAGCCAGATATGCATTTAGTCACCTCCAAACGATCTCTAATGAAGTCGAACGCATGGCCCATCCCTCGGGGATTGATCACCGCCGAGAGCTTTATCCTTCTATCCTTTATAGATTTATGAACCATTCCCCATAGAAATGTTAGAGAATTTTCCAAATCAAAAGGTGAGTGCTCCACTTCTATGAAAGTCCTTTATCAAAGTTCTCATGTTGAACGTTCATGTAACAATTTTACTGTAACCCACCCAGTAAGACTTTTGTTCGCTTTTTTGCCTCTTCATTGTTAACCTTGCACTCCGCCATATCCCGTGGCGGTAACGATTTCTTTTTCGGTGATTTATTTATTCGTTGAATCATTCTATACACAATGTCGAACATTTCCAGTATGCTCTAATCGAGAGAAAAAGACAGCGAGTTAGAGAGACAGTTGAACGAGGGAGAGAGAAGACAGAGGGCGGCAGGGGGATGCGTGCGGCAGAGAGGGAAGAGCTAGAAAGAAGTCGACGGGCGTCCTTGTACGAATAAAACGTCCGCATTGTGCGAAATTTTTCCACTAGGATATCCGTTGCTTCAATAAAAAAAAGCGTATTTAGCCCGTTTCTTTTTCTACCGCGTGCCTATTCGAGGCGGAAAATCTGAATTTTTGATCTCATT